CAATGCAAGTTCTGAAGCACAGGTGTGATATGGCTAGACTTTGGACATAGAGTAACTACTCTTGCACAGTTATTCTGGATGCGTTGAAGTTTTGAAACTAGCACTTGCGGAGCCCCGGCAAGTAAACTGTTACAATGGTCTAATTTAGACATTACAAGAGACAAAACAAGGATTAGCATTGATTCAATGGTCAGATAATTTCTTAGTGCTCCGGGGCGGTGGGGTAGCCTAATGGTTAAAGCGTTGGCTCGTCACGCCGAAGACCCGGGTTCGAATCCCCACATGGGTACAATGTGTGAAGCCCATTTATGGTGTCCCCCGCCGTGATGTTACTGGAATATGCTGAAAGCGGCGTAAAACCAAACTCAGTCAATCAGTCTTTTTTGCTCCTATATTTCTCAGTTGAAGGGAACACTAAACACACAAAAGCAACCTACCATTCCGTGTATGTCACACTCAGTAATATTCAAGTTATATAACCACAACCCATGAAGATCCGGGTTAGAATTGATCTTCAGTAACGCATGCTGGTCCCAAGAGGTGACTAACGGGATCGGGTGGTCAGGCTCGCTGACTTGGTTGACACATGTCATTGTATCCCAGTTGCGTAGATTGATGCTCATGCTGTTGATGACTGGATTCTATGGTCCAGACGCGATTATTTACAGACCACCACCATATAGCTGGAATATTGCTGAGTATGGCGTAAAACTAAACTCACTCACTATACAACCACATCAGCAACAGCAGTAAATAATCTCAGGACCAGACAAACATGATGGCAATGATTCTGAACCTCAGGAAACTATGACGCAACCATGTCATTGAGTTTATGGTTGTCAACCATTTTATGGTGAAGGAGTAAGGACATACTCCAAAACAGTTTGGTTATTATAATGAAGCTGACATCCACAAATCCTCCCTTTCATGTATAGTTTATCACTTTTAAGTGATATTCAGACACTTCAAAGAGTTAATATTACCAAGCTCATGGCTCACTGGCTGCTGGGGCTTGGAATCCGCAAACAATATTTCAGCTGTATTATTGTTGCATGTAGATATTGACTTGGCTAGAATTGGTCTTCAGCAACCCATGCTTAACTATTTGGATTGGGTGGTCAGGATTGCTGACTTGGTTGAAGCATGTTATCTATCCAAATTGCTCTGGTCAATGTTCATGATGTCAATCACTGGATTGTCTGGTAATGCTCATGATTTAAGTCATTGGATTGACTGGTCCAGCCCCAACTATTTACAGACGAGCACTGGTTACACTTGACATATTGTGACTTGAAGTTGGACAATATTCACAATAATCAATCTGATAAACTCGGATTGAGGAAGTATGGTTTTACACTGCTTTTAGCAATATTCCAGCAATATCACAGCAGGGGACACTAAAAATGGGCTTCACACATTGTACCCATGAGGGGAATCAATCCAGGCAGAGGTGGAAATAACCCATTGCCCGACGTCCGAGTCCAGTGCTTTTTTCTGTCGGGCAAGCAAATTTGTATATCACGCTGTACAGTTGACTTTCCAATGTTAATAATGTTGTTTATTTTTAAAAAATCAACAAGAAAACGGACGGTATAGTGGAAAAATGATCAGGGCAAGTGATTTTACATGTGCTACTGTACAGAGTACACTAGCAATTATAAAGTTATTTCCACCCCTGTCCAGGTCTTCAGCATGTCGAGCAAATGCTTTAACTACTAGGCTACCCGGGCGCCCCTGGGTGGAAGACAAACATTATGGTTCAGGTTGGTTAATGAAGATGCACTCAGGAATATTCCAGCTATATGGCGGCGGTAAGTAGTCAAGTTGTTTATTTGTATGAAGGCCATAGTATGTTTACATCGAGCATTAATTACATACAATGTACAATATACAAGGATGTTTTATATATGTTACAGATTTCAAACATTTTGTTCTCTTAAGATTAAGCTTTGACAAACATATCGACATAAATTATTAATACATCACTACACTTTGAATTCATTAGCTGTCTAAATTTGTGAATATTTACATTGTGGTGGTACATATATGGTAGATAACGTTGCTTAAATTCCTATAGTGTTTACATACAAGGATAAAATGATACTCATCCTCAATTCCATATTTACACAATTGACATAATCGCTGACTTAATTCAATTTCCAACCACCTTCACTTTTTAACTTTTAATTTTAAAATTCCACACCTAAGTCTTATCATTATATTTCGTTGTTTTTTACTTGTTAATAGATAGAGGTACTTTTCTGGTTCTAGTAGGCTTTTATATTGTCTATATACACTATATCGAGAACTTTCTTGTATAGTACCATTGCATGACTGTAAATACATATTAACTGCAACATTCTTAAACATTTCAAGGAAAAATGAAAATAATTGAGTCTGGGCCAGAAAATCCAGTGATCAGCATCATGAGCATCAATCTACGCAAATGGGAACCGATGGCATGTGTCAACCAAGTCGGCGAGTCTGACCACCCGATCATGGTAGTCGCCTCTTACGACAAGCATGGGTTACTGAAGACCAAATTAACCCTGATCACAGGTCTATGGTTCAGGGAATGGGACGGACGGACGAAGATGACATTCACTGATAATGGAACCTGTTAAGAGGATCAAAAAGTTGTTTGTTCTTCACTTTTCTTACACTATAGAGAATATTCTGACATGACCTAATTCTGATTTGGATAACAGTATTGAATGCAATGTACCTAGATAAATAAACCTAGACACAAATCTTTGAAGAAACAGACGAGTCATTCAGTTTGACTACGAATGGCACTTCATTTGGAATATTAGATAAATCACTTGTTTATAAATACAGATCATTACAGTATTGAGTATCCTTTGTATGATTTGGGGGTTATTAAGAGAAAACTAGCAGTGAAAACTTTTGGAATGGATCACTTCAATCAACAGTGGCTTGTAAACAAACCAGATATCAAGAGATACTGGAAATGTGACAATTTGCACATTAGAATATGGAGCATGTGAATGTGGCACAGATCATATACAGTAACCAAGAAAACATGTCACGTCACAAATATCCCAGTTTGTTCTTAAATTAAAGCATGTGAACGTGAGATTGAAAACATCATAGTAACCATGGTAACATATCATGTTACAATTGTTCCAGTTTTCACATAAGAACATATGAAACATGTGAATGTGAGAATGAAAAGATCTAAGTAGCCATGGTAACAGGTCATGTCATAATTATCCCGGTTTTCACATATATGAACTTGAAGCTTGTGAATATGAGAATGAAAAGATCTAAGTAACCATGGTAACATGGCATGTCACTTTTGTCGCATGTTGTTCTTAAGAATATGAAGCATGTGAATGTGAGATTGGAAACGTCCAAGTAACCATGGTAACATATCATGTTACAATTGTCCCAGTTTACACATACGAACATGAAGCAGCTGAATGTGACACAGCCTATATATAACCTGAGCATCAGATAAGCGTAGTCTGTTATCACTGACAGAGCTAGTGCTACATGCAAAGTTTGAGGAGCATTTGATATATTAACCAGTATATATGATATTTTTCCTGTGAAAACGAGTGTCAGAAAAATCAGGCCAAAGAAGACAAGTTAAGATACACAGTGAAGCTGCTGGAGTCTGTATAACAATTGTCATGGGTCAGTGACCTCAGACGTCTGTAGTAAAGCATGTTTGGGAATTTGTGAACTTACACTTACCTATCATGTCTATTGTTGGACTTAACCGAGAGCCACGATGCGGTCCTATACAGTCAAGACACGACCCTGCATCGCTGCCGAGAACACCACCTTCATAAATCCTATTCAGATTCTAGTGGCCGATTACCCCTCGTATTTTCTTGTATATCAATAAATATGCTTGATCCCATGGACACATCTTTTTATAGAGATATGACTGGAATCCTCTCTGCAAGGAAAATCTGTAAATTATGACATAAAAGCAGATAAATTCAATATACATTAAGTGTGATTCACCCAAAGTACGAGTTCTCGAAACAGGAGGCGAGAGTGAGTATTGCGTACCGCTAATGAAGAATGTCCTCCGATACGGACTATAGAAATTTGGTGCATGCACACAACATGTCAGCTCGCTATCGTTGAAACAAGAACTCAACGGGTTTCAGGCCCATTAATATCTAAATGTATGATCACAAAAATATGTCAGTTACGTGTATGTATATAGGGAAATTATCTGGGAGTACATCGATATCGACTTTTCAGTCAAAACCCACAGGAAATATATTTTAAAAATCTCAAGAAAATACGAGGGGTAATCGGCCACTAGAATCTGAATAAGATTTATGAAGGTGGTGTTCTCGGCCGCGATGCAGGGTCATGTCTTGACTGTATAGGACCGCATCGCGGCTCTCGGCTAGGAACAGTTCTTCTTGTCACCTGTTCCTGTTGTCCAGTGGTGATCAAGAATATGTCAAACAGTAAACTGTAAAGCAATTACTTGTACTCGTCATGGTTTTTATAAAAGTGATCATGCTAGCTTTTAGTTGGGGGTGACGATACCGTTGAAATATTGATGATGTGACAATAAATTTTATTTTTAACTTACTGACTTTTAGTAGTGGTTGAAATTACAAAACCTTCTGATTTGACTGATAAATTAACTAAATGTAGGATTTACTAGTCATAAAACTGCTTCTAGATTCGGCTGCGGTTGTCATTTGGATCAAGTTTCATAACAATTAGGATAAGCGTACCCAGAGCTGATCAGCTGTTCTGAATGTCGACAATGATCACCCCAGCGTTATTTCATGTCATTTTAGAAGTTAAACTGTTACAATTACAGAGAAACAAATTGTCACACGTGATACAGAGAAGCCACTACTCCGTCAGTCACGTAGGCAAACGATTCACAGAGTATTACACAAGCACAAAATAGTCCAGGTCACCAGAAATTTGCGATGGCGAAACTGGAGATCCATTGCAACGAAAACGTAATCAACACTGCATACATGCATACATACCTGCTTGATTAAACCGTAGTGAATGAATGATGATTGAAGTCTTGATCAGGGTGGTCTATATACATCGATGACGCATGTCTGATGAAAACTTTAACCGAGTTGCTCGTACTGGAGCACCTGCTAAAATGACCCTGTGACGTCACATGACAGAGGTTTGTTGACAGGGACCATTCATTGTACATTCGAAGGTGCGGGTGATTTTTATCAGCTGGGTGACCATAAATGCCAAAATAGATCAGAGTCACACAGACATGGTGTTTGTCAGATTTTCTAACTGCTTTTCATTGTGCATTGTAAAATAAATATTTACAAATCGTTCATATAAAAAATTTAAGCCGATTGAGTGACAAATCAACTGCTGCACAAAGTACAAAGCGTATCGGACTAGTAGGAGGTAGAATGTAAATTATCAAATGCCGTGTAATACGGATTCATATCTATATTTTATGCCGGATTAAGTTTTATCGTATTATATAACCGTCGGACTCTCTTTACATTTATTTTTTCATATCGTATTTTAGACACGGCTAACACGACTTTTTCCCAAAATTATAATTCTCTGATAATTTCAAATGTTATAAACCTATCTTACCCCAAGTGCAAAAACTCACAAGTGGTGATGTTGGCCCAACGTGTGAGTGCTATCTGGGACGCGGTGCGTGAAATAGGTCATTATCGATACGAGCTGGTACATGTTTCAGATAGACCACTGACCGTAATCGAACCATTGTCTACAGCCCAGTGTGCAAAATAGCCACTGGCCCGCTAGCCCGTGACTAGTAAAAATTCTGTCGGGCCAGTATATTTTCTAGTGAATTTTCATAGGGTCATTTTGTAAATATATCAATCTCTCCGACTTGTTAAGTTATAATGCACTTTTAAATCGTATAAGGATACATTAAACCTACAAATACTACACAGCTGATAATTAAAGATATTCACTGCATACTAGTATATTATCAAGAATTGTTAACGCAGACAAGTTAAGGGTTCATTTTATGAGATATTTACGGTATCCTTGCTGGTTCATACCCAGTCGGGCGAGTGTTGGCCTACCCGTTTATTCATAGCCTCAGTTCGCAGGTGAGAGGTTTGCGAAATGCTGATAGCAACTAGCAAGGTTTTTTTTGCAGCGAGGGCGATAGAAAGACATTCACCGTGCACATACATGTAAATACTGCACGGTGTTTATTTCAATGTGTCTGCTAGCGGCTTGTTCCAATACCCTAGCTGCGTGCAGTCGAGGATAGATAGATAGATATTCTTTATTTCCTCCATAAAATGAACAAATACATTTGAATGATAAACAACAGTACAGAAAAGGTTCTAACTATTAGTACTGATATTATACAGTAATATTCAATTGTGAAAGAACTGAAGGTATTTATGAGCATTGCCGGAGTATGCTCTCCCAACTGCGAACAGAGAGACTAATCATTACCATCAGTTCTGACCAAACATTATAGTCCAATACACCTTTACAGTGGTCAGGTATACCTCCGAGGAGGAATGACAGGAATACATCATCGTCTTCCATCCGCATTTTAACAAAAATGTCTATGTCAAGAATATCACAGATTATTTCAAATGGAGAATTTCTTTCTACCAAGTTATACTGGCATGACATAAAAACATGTTTCATAATGTCGTGAGCAACTGTTCCGCATATAGACATTGCTTTGATTCTATTGGGAGTTGACCACCTCCGTGGTGTAGTGGTTAGAGCGTCTGCCCGGAGAGCGGAAGGTCGCGGGTTCGATCCCCGACCGCGTCATACCAAAAAAGACGTTAAAATATGGTACTTGTTGGTCCCTGTCTGGCGCTCGGCATTAATGGGTACAACAAGGACTGGTCGTCTCGAAGTCAGTATAATGTGTCTGAGTGGGGTATTCATGCTTCACTGCGGCAATTGGTATCTCAGTGGGCTAGCACTATAAAACCAGTTTAAGTCTGGGCTAGTACAAGCAGCCGCACATACACATACACACGCATGCACGTCGTCATATGAGCGAAATATTCTCAAGTACGACGTTAAACCCAATTTCACCTCACCTCACCTATTGGGAGATGCATGCCTTATAATTCTCGTAATGTCAGTGAAGTTCTGAGGTATCCATAGTCGATGTATCCATAGTCTATGTTCTCGTCCTGATCTTATTGTTAGATATCTGGAGAGAGACAACCTTGTCTGTAGTATATTTACCAACAGCATTTGATCATATGTAGTTACCTTATCTTTGACTAGTTGCGACCAAGCATTATTCTTCATAAACTTAGAATCACAAATGTAGTTACGGAATTTACTAAGCAGATTGTACTTGGAAACAAGCCGTAACATGTTAAAAACAGGTGATTTCAAATTAAACTTATTCTTGTGTATCAGTGATTCTTTGCAGTGGTATTGGCCAAGGCGGACTAAAAACATTTGTTTAAAGCTGTATCTTGTGTTGGCATGACAGAGTTTACCAATGAGTAAGAGGCTTTGTTGATCTATATATCCTTTTAGGGATGTTATCCCGACTGTATCTCTTACAATTTCATTTGGCATGTACTTATTAAAGCCTTGAATTATTTTCTGACAGAAGTAGCGCTGGATGATTTCTAGCATTTCATATTCTTTAAGGGACAATTTGCCCCAAACTGTACATCCATACAAACCACAAGGTAGAATCACTCGATTCCAAATACGTACATGTTTAGAGGATTCATACCGCCAAAGTAGAAGACAGAGTCAAAGTTCATATTTATTAATATTCGTAGCTTTTCACAGACAAGTTTTGTTCTCTCCGTAGGGCACTTAGTAGTGCTGATATGGACTCCATCATAAACTACAGACCATTTAATAGGGAGATTAGTTTCTCCAAGATACAGGTTGACAAGTAGGGATGCATTGCTTCATCCAAAGGTTACAGCAGCGCTTTTACCAACATTGTATTTTAGCTGCCACTTATTTGCATATAGTTCAGTCACCTTCAACAGTCTTTGGAGATCTGTTGGATTATTGGTGAGCAATGCTGTGTCATCGGCTAGTAGTATTCCTGGGCATTTCCCCCAAGGGTGACACAGACCGCAGCCAGTATCATTTAGTTCATTTAGTAGATCATTTATATATAGAGAAAATAGCCAGGCAGACAAAACACGACCTTGGCCCACGCCTTGTCTAATGTGAAATAGATCGGACTTAAAACCAGCAAAACTTACACATGAATGCATTGAACTATAGGATAGGCGTAGTATCCGCCAGAGTTTGCAAGTAATTCCAAGATTGTAGAGTTTGTAGAACAGACCACCAAGCCAAACACGGTCAAATGCTTTCTCGTTATCAAGGAAAGCACAGTAGACAGGTGAATCCTTTTCGTCATATATAGTATGCAATACTTTCTACAAGTGTGAGAGCTGCTGTCTCAGCACTGAAGTCTTTTCTCAAGCCAAATTGGAAGTTGTGGGGCAACGTTATATTTTCAGCTGTCCACTTTTCAATTATGTTAAGGAGCAATATTTCAAACAGTTTACTTAGAATCGACGTTAATCGACACCCCTGTAGTTGGAGGGGTCAGCTTTACTTTTACCGTGGCCTTTATGCAGGGGCAGAATGTGGCCAACATTAAAAGCTTGTGGAATGTACTCGTATGTGATGATATTGTTGAACTATATCATTCAGCGGTGAATACGTATCTCCTTCACATATATTTTTACTTTTCTCAAGATATTCAATATTTGATATTGAGCGCTCAATTTCTCCAGCAAAGTGATTATCAAAGCTACTTTCCATGTTTGTCACAGATAGGTCCTTGAAGTATTGACCAAAAGTGTTACAGATATTTTCTGCATTATTGCCTGAATGATTTTTGTATACTGTTCTGTTACTAGACCTGTAGCTCGTTTATACCTTTTTGTAAGCTTAAAATATTCATGTACGTCTATTTCCGCTGCCTGATGGATTTCTTTCAGTCTATCATCTATGAGACTTTGCTTACACTGACGGTGTCTTTTTCTAAAGATACGATTAGCTTCTTTGTATCTAGCAGCCGTATGATGAGACGAATGGACCTATCAAGATATGTCTCTATCAGATCTGTTGAACATAATAAACTGTGGCTGTTATGTCAAAATTATCCATGTAAATTTAAACAGCTGTCGCGTATTGTCTCACATGCATCAAGAAGACTTCAATCAAAAGAATGCTGTTGTGGTACAGTTGCTCATGACATCATTAAGCATGTGTTCATATCTTGCCATATTAATATGAAAGAAAGAAATGAACTGTATGAAAGTGTCATTGACATACTCGATGTAGATTGCTTTGTCAACTTGTGGGCAAACGATGATGACATTATGATTACATTTCTACTTGGTGGTCTTCCAGAATGTGCTGCTAACATTGATTTTGATATCTGGTGCAAAATAATGTTCCTGGCTGCTGATTGTATTTATAAATGCCAACATCTATTTGTGTAATCTCTTGTCTATCACCTGTACATTAAACCTGTCATAACCATTTAAACGGTACCCTTGTAATCTTCAATTGTTGAGGAAATAAAGACTATCTATCTATCTTTCCCATTCTCAACCCAGAGTTTTCGTCTACTGCGCATATCATCATACAGTTTATTTAGATTTTCTGCTTTCCAATATGGTTTCAGAAATGGTTGAAACCTTGATGACGGGATACTGATAGACGCACATGCATGTAGAATATCAGCTATGTGCTGATTGTACATTTCAATATACTCGGCATGGGACGAGAAGTGAGGAAGGTTGTGGATATCGTAACGAAAGTAGTTTTCAGTTTCGTAACGATAGATCATGCGGTCGACATCAGATGCCTTTCTCCAACTGAGCCTAGACCAACCATAAGACACGCATGGATTATCAATTTTAAGACATACATGAATGGGTAGGTGATCAGACACATTGTATGATATGTTGGTATCGATGGTGTAGCCTATAACGTTGTGGATACAGTCATTGTTTATAATAGTCTATCATTGTTCTCGTACTAGCACTTTTGGTTGAGAACGTATATTTACATTTATCGTCTAAGGGCACGACAGGTCGCGTTCGTCAAGTACTCTCTGGAGACAGCAAGATCGAGTCTTCTTGGCAACAAAGTGCCGAATGTCTGTATTAAAGGTGAGGTGAGGTGAAATTGGGTTTAACGTCGTACTTGAGAATATTTCGCTCATATGACGACGTGCATGCGTGTGTATGTGTATGTGCGGCTGCTTGTACTAGCCCAGACTTAAGCTGGTTTTATAGTGCTAGCCTACTGAGATACCATGCCGCAGTGAAGCATGAATACCCCACTCAGACACATTATACTGACTTCGAGACGACCAGTCCTTGTTGTACCCATTAATGCCGAGCGCCAGACAGGGACCAACAAGTACCATATTTTAACGTCTTTTTGGTATGACGCGGTCGGGGATCGAACCCGCGACCTTCCGCTCTCCGGGCAGACGCTCTAACCACTACACCACGGAGGCGGTCCTGTGTTAAAGTCTCCAGTGAGTATGGTTTGACAATACTGTGAATATATATCATATAGGTTCATCACATAATGGAGTTCCTGAGTGTGTGAAGGAACACTTGTACTTTCATTTGTTCCCTTATTCGTTTCCATGAGTATATATTTGAAGTTATGCCCCAAGTTATAGCCTTGACTAACACCAGATAACTCAGGTTGAATCTTGTAAAGCCTGGTGGCCAGAAACGAGGTGGTGGTTGACTCGGGTCACTGTTAACTGAAGGTTATCCCTTAGAAAAACAGAAAAAACACGACTCAAAAGATGACAAGGTATTTCTTTGTAAACAGCCTACCCGTAAGGAGGTCACGCTCTGCGTATTTGGGTTGAGGAGATCGTATAACTCGACAGCCATGGGTACATTTAGTGCTCATGTACCGTAAATCTCTCTGGACAAGTTTCAAGCAGTGATTTCTTCAACCCATTTCTCTCAGTTTTCCTTCTAAGTCAGATTCTTTATTTATCACTTATAGTCTGTTTGCAGTGAAAACGTACCGATGAATTTCACTTTTAACAAAAACGTAAATCAAATAAAGTGAAATTAGAAGTACGAATCCTCATGATTTTACCTTGCCAATTGAACATTTAAATCTCAGAATTTTATTCAACTTAGGATAAAAGTTGTTTAACAGACGATCATAGTTTCAAATCGCTATTGTTGGTTTGTATTACAAGGGGGTATGCACATTAAATGAAACACCGAGAAGAAGTAGGGTTGGTCTAAGTTAACGCTCATCACGAACTGCACGTGCATTTGTATCACTGTTCCAATTACTGGGTTTACTCCCTTGTAATACAAACCAATAATAGCGATTTGAATCTATGGTTAAGGTATGGGAGTTACGGTCACCTTAGCGCTACGATAGTTGTAAGTCTATGTTAAGGTATTGGAGTTACGGTCACCTTAGCGCTACGATAGTTGTAAGTCTATGTTAAGGTATGGGAGTTAAGGTCACCTTAGCGCTGAGATCGCTTTGTACAACGGCACCCTCCTGGCCAAGGTCAAATTGCTGCCGCGTCTTGAAGTGAGAAATCATCAACCGCTAGTACACGATGGGGCCTTGTGTTCAGAGTATGTTATTCGAACAGACCTGTCTATGATGTAAGTAATGTACGGTTGTCCATTTAAATTTGAACTGTTCCTCACAAGACCATGTTTACAGTCGTTTACAATCAGTGAACCCCCAAATGCCATTCAAACACCTTACCAACAACTTTCCATCTTTGAGGAGGCCCCATATTTGCAACAACGAAATCAATTGATTTTCCAAGTTATCGAACTGCAAGAACAGTTTACTGAAACGTATTTTGCTTAATGACGGGTATTGCACATGACTCTTGCCTTTGATTGTAGCACGTGCATATTTCTAATCAAAGAATGATATGTCCGAAGCGTAAATGATCATATATACATATTTATAATATGAACATAAATGACTATATGTGGGTTCAAAGTCATAGGTGTTGCGATACTTTTTTCTATGTGTATATACACTCATGCACTTTATATGATGGGAACTGCAGATGTTTACTTAATATTAGAGCAGGGAGTGTGGTGCGAGTACGGCTGCCCGCGTATTGCGCAATTTGTTTAAATATCAGGTTGGTTTTGGAGGGTCAGACACTGTCTGAATACAAGTTCGACTTGAAACCTCAACGTATTAAACAAACGAAGGAGCAAAGAAATTGCACATCTCAGCTGGTTCTTTTTAACAAGTTTAATTTCCAGTTCGAAATGTCTTAAGTTTGCTATAGTTTATATAAATGGACTACATCGGCACTTAGTCAGAACTCAGAGAACATGGTTTTGATTAACAAATAATTTGATTTCATTCTTTTGAAAATTAAAAACTTTGCATGCTACAAAACTGTTGAAAGGTATCTAGACGTCTTATCTGTGAAAATCAATAAATCTGCTCAAATCTGCAACATTTCATACATGGTAGGAGCTAAATGGTTGCAAATTCGTTTTTACGACAGTCTTTACTGATACAATGTATTTTTTAAGATTTCTAAGCTACGTTACTTGTAACATACTGTTGCAGGATTCAGTGGTGGTTAAATCAGAGACCATATATAATCTGTTATCTATAATCTATTATATGGTCTCTGGTTAAATAGACATGATAGATGTGATACAAATAAGACTCGCAAGCATGGGAGAATGAATCCGTTGATCTCGTATTTTGTTTCTGGAATATTGAAAACACTCACTCACCCTTATGCTGTCGTTGGGTGGCCGGTTGGTTTGTTGTTTAACGCCACATTCAGAAATAGTCCAGCTATATGGCGGCGGTCTGTAAATAATCAAGTCTGGACCAGATAATTCAGTGATCAACACCATGAGCATCGATCTGCGCAATTGGGATACGATGACATGTGTTAACGAAGTCAGTGAGCGTGACCACGTACCGATCCCGTTAGTCCCGTTACGACCCGAGCATGGGTTACTGAAAGGCAATTCTAGCCCGGATCTTCACTGGTCCATATGCTGTCAATAGTAATTCTCGTAATTTCCTTTCTAATTGTATATCATAGTCAACACTCAATTTGTCTTTTAGCACAATGTCTATCGCAAAGAAAAGAAATGGTTAGTCCATGGAGATGGATATATATATATGACTCGGTCATCATTGTTGCGTTTGTTGTCTGTCTCACAGTCCCCCCAGCTGCACTATTTCTTCTTCAGCCCAGCCCTCCCTGCAATGCTAAAGCCCTAAACCAAGACGTCTAGATTTCCTCAGCTTCAGAATTTCCCCTCTCACTGCATGGGGCTAACTTCGTTGTGTGCCAGTTTAATAGGTACACGGGCTTCTTTTTAATTTAAAAGGAATATAGTGAGTGAGTTGGGTTTTACGCCGCTTTTAGCAATATTCCAGCAATATCACGCTGGGGTACACCAGAAATGGGCTTCACACATTGTACCCACGTGGGGAGTCGAACGCAGGGTCTTCTGCGTGACGAGCGAACACCTTAACCACAAGGCTACCCCACCGCCCTTTAAAAGGAATAATTCCTATCAAACTTAATGTATTTTCTACTCTACGCGTTAGTCTGTTGGGCTTTTATGTGTTTCGGGGTCAAGGTATTGTGTGAAGTAAATGCCGTTGTGCAGTGGTATATCATGGGTGGATCCAGGAATTTTGAAGGGGCTTCGCCAACGCATTTTTTTTTTCAATGTGGTCTTAAGTCATTTTCAGAGAGGGTGTGTGTGTGTTCGAACCCCCTGAACCCCCTCCCCCCCCTGGATCCGCCACTGTATATGGTGATAAATAAGAATTAAGTTAAACGATTTTATCATATTATGAATTTATCTCATGATGACTTATGATTTTTTAAACACCATTTTGAACAGGTGTAAGTTGTCGAAAGATATAACATCTATGTAACACATGAAATGTGTCACTAAACATATTCACACATCAGCACGTACGACCGTATACTACTGCCGTAAATGACACATTGTATCCGGGGGTCTTATTTCCTGTGGTTGTGTGCCTCTATTATTTTCATCCGGGTAAGTTGAAAGTTTTTCTTTTCTTTTTTAAACATAACTTGTATAAAACACAAAACAACATTAGTAAAAACTGAAATAAGCGAAATCCATAATGCAGTTTATATATATTCAAAAAAATATACATTTTCAAACCTATGTATTATGGAGATTTCTTGTAGATCAAACTTGTTAACAAAACAACACAATGAAGGGTCCCTGGAATGTCCAATCTCGAACGATCTCGTGAGAAACAAACCTCAGTCCAAGATGTCTGCGATCAAGTCGCTGAATCCCAAAGCCGAAGTTGCTAGGGCGTCGCAGGCCCTAGCTGTGAATATAAGTGCAGCTAAAGGTCTACAGGATGTCCTTCGTACCAATCTTGGCCCAAAGGGTACCATGAAAATGTACGTTTATTCATAATAACCGTGATTTGTCGAAGCCGACTAGCGTTGTTAATGAGAATGTTCTGGAAACACGTGCTCCTGTCGACACGCTGTTTTGAGTCATGTCGGCACTTGTTATTTGTTAAGTACGGCTACTTTGAAACGTTTTACAATTATCCCGCTTTTGAATAATATTTCAGTGGTATTTCAGAATAATCTAGATAGTAGGAATGATATTAACCATCATAACCGTGTACTAAGCGTGTGCAGGGTACCGGTTCAGATGTGCAATACATGCATATTTTACAACATTTTTGTGATACTCCCAACGTATGTTCGTAGGAGTCTTAGCTAACGCAGTAGTTTTTCAAACAAGTGTACCTTGAATAAAAAACAAACGAATTGCATTTAAAATATCCCTCAAAATATTTACTATGATTCGGTTTCAGTCACCAAGACCAGTTTTCAAAGTCTGTAAAACCATTCGTGTGGTACTTGGGTTGCAAGAAAAATAATTGTGCTGAAAACAGCCCCACCTGTTTTATATTTTTCCCCATCTTGCCTGTGGACTAAACTGTTTGAAATTCTGCCTTTTCGTTACAATGATAAAGCCTACCCATGAAATTCTGGGTTAGAATTGGTCTTGTAACCCATGCTTCTTGCAAGAAGACTTGGTTGACACAATCATATCATCATATCCCTATTGCGTAGAATGATGCTCATGCTCTTGATCACTGGATTCTCTGGTCCAATCTCAATTACTTACCGACCGCCGCCATATAGCTAGAATATAGCTGAGTGCTGCGTAAACCTTATCTAACTCACTCACTCATTATCAAAGCCAATCAGCATTACAAAACATTTTGCATCAACACTTTCTGTTTTGGTTTCAGGCTTGTGTCCGGAGCTGGAGACATCAAGCTGACGAAAGATGGAAATGTACTGCTACACGAGATGGTAGGGATATTTCTTCATCAACACCATGCAATAACCAGTATCTGTTATCCAACAAAACAGATTCCTTTGGCCATAAAAGACAAAATAGTTGTGAATCAATGAAAATATGTGATGTCAACAGGTTTTAACGGAAATGATAAGCTTGTTCGTCCACGTCAAATAATGTTATTACACTAACATCTTTTGTTTTCATTTGCTTAGGTGACGCACATTTAATTAATAACCAATTGACAAGAAGATAATCTGTTTTTTGTTATTTGATTGACAGCAATGTTACAATAACCCCAATTTTACAAAATCCGAAATTTTGAAAATGATGACCTTTGTTCAGATCGTTGTTCTTGAATTATTAACCTATGTATTTGATAAGTTTTATGGTTGTGTTTGTAGCAAATCCAGCACCCTACCGCCTCCCTGATTGCAAGAGTTGCAACAGCTCAAGATGACATCACTGGAGATGGCACAACATCCAACGTCCTCATCATCGGAGAGCTGCTTAAACAGGCTGATCTCTACATTGCAGAGGTAGGGAGAGAAAATTTTCATGGATTGTCTGTGTGTAATCTGAGTAAGGCATTGAACATGATAAACCAAGAGCCAGATGCTATGATAATGACTTTGTATACAATGATGACTTCTTATGTTCGTAATCAAATAATAGCAAGAATAATAATAGATTTTTATTTGATGAAATCTGGGAATATGATAGGTGATTTACATTTGATCAGTTTGAAACTTTTGAATGGTCCCTCAGTGGGGATATATTCAGCTCAACTGGTGATTTTGATAATCAAATTTTATTCTGTTTTTACATATTTCATATGTGAGAATCGGCTTTGTGTGGTATAGATAAATAAATATCTTCTATCACAATTTGAGTATTAAGAGTTAAATATCTAACAATACAGTGTGTGCAAACAATATTTGTGTGTTTGTGTATGAGGGGAGATCTTGGGCTAGGCATGAATTTCAAAAGCTGCTTGTTATAAGCCTTAAATTTCAAGTTGAAAGTATAGGGGTAAATTAAAATACTGTGGGGTTCCTCAAGGATGCCAGGATGCCCTTTAGTTTCAAACACTGAATTAGCTGCCATGAAAAATGTCAGAATTTGTTTCGTGTATTCTTGTACAGCAAAATAACTTTATTTTTCAGGGACTGCATCCCCGTCTGATCACTGAGGGGTTTGAGCTGGCCAGAAACAAGTCCTTGGAAGTAAGTCTTGATGATTCTTTTGAGGGTGATATGGTGGATTGTATATTTACCTGGTTTAAAGACTGTAAACCTAGAGATATAGATACCAATGCAGGACAAAAGTTGCTTCCAGTATACACACCTTAAATAGGTCCTGTGTAGAAAAGGTTCCATGTATCAAATGCTAATTGCGGATTGCAGGAGTTATCGGAACCACAAAAATTTTTTTATGGGCTTTATTGTAAAAATATGGTATGTCTTTTTGTATAGGTTTTGGACGAGGTGAAGATTGAGCGTACAATTGATCGGGACACACTGGTGCAGGTGGCACGCCACATCACTCAGGACCAAGGTGCATCAGGAGCTGGCTGATCTTCTCACAGAGGTAGACTTTACATAATGCAGTTAAGATTTATGCTCAGTAAAATGACAGTTACATTCCTGCCAAAAGAATACAGATATAGTGTTTCTGTATCAATTTATGAGAGCCCAATTGGGAGAAGACTCGTCAATATATTTGTGATAAGTCTTGTACTTGCACTGTATCATGTTCACACAATTGTTTTAGTTAGCTGGTTGTAAAGATGTTATATTGTAAGTATGCAGCAAAAATCATTTTGGGTGTTTACGACATGGAACAGCATATTGGTATCAACATACATCACATGGCCTTTGTTTTCTCCATTCAGAACTGTTTTTGTTTTGTTTTCAAGATAAATGAATGTGATATTTTCATGAAATTGTGCCTCTGTGATAGCTGAAAATAACTAGTGCCTAGCATGGTTAAAGACTCGGAAACTGATGCCAGTGTTGTGTTGTGAATGTGGTGAAGCAATGCACATCTAAACGCTAGCAAAATGGTGATTGTCTTTACAGCATGTCGTTGATGCTGTTCTGGCCATCAAGCGTCCAAATGAGGCCATTGACTTGCATATGGTGGAAATCATGGAGATGCAGCACAAGACTGATATGGACACGACGTGAGTTTCACCTGATAGAAGTTTAGTAAACAAACATTGTTTAAACAGCAAGACTGGAGGTATGTTTGCTCACTAGCAAGTCTGGAAAATGAATACCTCACTTGTGTGACTCGTTAATGACGGACGTGAATATCCAGGTTAGAACTGATCTTCCGCAACCAATGCTTGTCATGAGCCAAACAACTGGATCGGGTGGTCAGTCATGCTGACTTGGTTGACACATGTCATCGTATCCCAACTAATCAATGCTCTTGCTATTGATCACTGGATTGTCTGGTTCACACTCTAATTACAGACCAATGCCATATTGTTGGAATATTGCATAGGAGATTTAAAAAAAAAGATAAAATTTTGTCATCTGGTCCAGATGAGAATAGTTATAAGGCTGGAATATACTAGTACACAACAAATATGTCAGGCATGGAATGCAAGGGTATTCCCAACTGTGAAGACATTCATAAAACATTCATCCTCAGCTTATGGGGAATTGTCCAGCTTTGGATGATTGTAATTTCTTGAACAGGAGAAATATGCATGCTTGTTCTTGTCTCTGTTTTCTGATGAAACTATGTGTTTACTGAATAGGTTTGTGCGGGGGCTTGTCATGGATCATGGATCTCGTCACCCCGATATGAAGAAGCGAGTTGAGGATGCCTACATTCTCACCTGCAATGTCTCACTGGAATATGAAAAGACGTGAGTGGCTAAAAATAATGTTCAGTGTTTTAGAAGACACATGTTTTTCTGGATAACTCGCATCTTCATCATAATGATAAAATAGACCCATTGTAATGGAGATTCCAAACAGAAAACACCTGCCATATATGGAATATAAACAATAGCTCCATACAACGAAAACTGTGGCACAAGGTTGTCTGTGTTTGCTGAGCTGGTGTCAATCACAAGTTGTGCGTAAGATATTTGTAAAGAGCGCTCCAAGGGGCATAACTCGATGGGGTTCGCTTGAAATAATGTTTGGCCTGTAGAGAGCCCGAAAGTCAATTTAATGCAACTTTACATTAAGTAATTCAAACTTTTTATTTTAAATTGTAATCTAAATACAACATTTTTTGGGAGTAAATGATATGGTAGCTTTCCTGAGGGCTGATAGTTAATATTATTGAGAGAAATGCATTATTTATTTTTAGAGAAGTTTGGTGTAATATAGTGCCTTTAATATTGACTTACAATGGTTGTAGCGTTAAATTGCCTTATGGCCCGAGTCCCTCTCATAATACTCACTTTATCAATGTAGGGATGGTTACTATTAACACTTTCCTTGTACAATATGGCTAAAATATTGTCAGTGTGACTATAAATCTTCACTCCCTCACTTTTCTTGTCTGCTTCCAGCGAGGTGAACTCTGGTTTCTTCTACAAGAGTGCTGCAGAGAGAGAAAAACTGGTGGAGGCAGAGAGAAAGTTCATTGATGATCGTGTCAGGAAGATTATTGAGCTGAAGAACAAAGTGTGCAAAGGGAATGACAAGGGATTTGTTGTCATCAACCAGAAGGTAGTGCCTGAGGTTACCCGCAGTCTAAGTTAACTTAGGCTCAGTATCATTTGTCATCGTTCGTTAGTCTAACAAATCCTAGTAGAAGGTTGTGTCAGCTAACCTTTGAGTGACCTATGTCGTCCAAACAAACGGGAGACGGACGAACAGATTTAACCAATCAGACGACGGCTACTATTTAGGGTTCGCAGGGACTTACGAAATGGATTTTCTCTTCCCTGGTCGCTGACACTGATCTCTCAACAAACGAAAATCTGCATAAAACACAGATACTTAACATGCAGCTTATGCGCTTAGGGGTTTCTGATGACATGGTTACTATTAGCTTATATTTTCGCAAGATGACATCCTGGAATATTGACAAAAATGGTATGTGTGAATGTTAACTTTCGTGATTTGGTAAGCTGTGTTCTGATTGGTAAATTGACATGGTTAGATGACGGCGACCTTCATACTGGCATTTGTTAGACTCAGTATAGCAGTGTAATGAATATACAGAGCCTAAGTTTACTTAGACTGAGGTTATCCAGTAGCCACTATAACAGCGAAAATAGGGTGATAGGTTTACTTGTGCTATTCTGATTTAAGTTTTGAGGATTTTTTTTCTTCTAAAAACAAGAATATTGGGTTCAATTCTGATGAAAGAAGTTTTTCATTTTCAATTTATTTTTCAACTTCAGATGTATTTTTTGACGGGAAAATCTGATCTGATGATCGGTTTGTTTTACTTCTGCAATTGACATGTTCAAATAATTGTATTGACTCAACCATGTTATGATGATGTTTGAGTTTTAAAAATATTTTACAAAATTTGCTGTACTTTCAATACTTCAGTTTTACGTCTTTAAATACACGTTAAGAATAGCCAGTCAATTCCTCGAACAGAATCAACAACTACTCTACTGGACGTTGTCTTAATGATTTACAAATGAAGCTGCATTCAGTGCAATAATGTAGAAATAACTATTGATGCCACATCTTCTTTTTAGGTCCTGTTATCAGTGAAATACAAATAAACTCATTCTCAAATAATAATGGAAGTCTCTCTGATATAATATAATTAAAAATAAGAAACACAATGTTAGACATGAACACTATTCATTTCATATTTCTTGCAGGGAATTGATCCTCTGTCGCTGGATATGTTTGCCAAGGAGGGCATTGTGGGTCTGCGCCGTGCCAAGAGGAGGAACATGGAGAGGTTAGTCAGTGCTTCAGGCTAGGAGACATCAGAAATAGATCCTTGAATTGGTCGTTTAGCCTGGTGGTGTAAGTGTTCAGGTCAAAGAGCGGGCTTCAATTCCAAACTTAGGTTCAGTGTGAAGGCCTTTTTCCTGATGTATTGTTAAGTGTCTTAAAAACTAGCCAGAGCATAATGTCTCCTTTCCAATGTAAGAAATACATTAATCCCCTATACTACTGTAGCCTCATTTTAAACCTGGTTCCTATGATTTAACATTTGTTAAAAATACTCTTTAGCAAGGGCATTGCTTTGTTGGGAAATTAGTCTGAATAATCTATTCATCTGAGTTGATAGTAGTTGAGTTGATTACTACCATGCATTAGCATTATTACATGACTCCATCTTATTGTTTTAATACCATGGCTTTATCAACCTATTGTTGAATTTCAAAAGAAGAGAGACTGAAATTGGGGACATCAATACTCAAAGAACGGGAGGCAATGGGTCCAGGGTGTTATGTTCAGGTGGTTTGAAACCAAATCTCTCTCCCTCTCTCTCTCTCTCTTTCCCTCTCCCTCTCCCCCTCTCCATCTCTCCCATTGAAAATGACTTAAGTACACAGTTTTACACTGGCGGAGAAGGAGGGATTCAGTGGGTTCGAACCCCCTAACCCCCCCTTTTGAAAATTCCTGGATCCGCCTCTGGATATTGATGACAAACATGTTATCACACAACTGAAGTTGATGTAATCATGTTGCTGGTAATGCTGTCAAAGGCCCAGTGGTTTGAAGAAGACTTTTAGCTGTGATATTTGGGATCCGAGAAAATCTGTGTTAGAATTGATCTTCAGTAACACAGTAACTCATGCTTGGCTGATAGATGTCATCGTATCATATCCCGATGCTCATGCTGTTGATCACTGGATTGTCTGGTCTAGACTCAGTTATTTATAGACTGCTGTCATATCGCTGGAAAATTAAGTGCAGCTTTAAACAACAAACTTGATATTTTGTGTACAGTGTTTGTTACAATGTGTACTCATGTCTTCAGACTTTCCCTGGCAGTTGGTGGGACAGCTATGAACTCCGTGGATGACCTGACACCAGATGTACTGGGACATGCTGGGCTCATGTATGAACATGTTCTGGTAGGTAAACACTGTAACTGTGTTGGAGTCTCATCCCTTCATGACATGGTGAAAACAATACTTTAGAAGCATGTGTGTGTTGGATGGAGAAAGTGCTTGTTGTTCCCCGCTGCAGCGCGGAACGGGGGACTATGTATTCAGCAGCGTCCATATGTACGTCCCGATTCTTGTAACCCAATATCTCATGAACTGTTGTACCCAATGTCTTCAAATTTGGTGACAGCCTACATTGGGGAATTACGCAGACACCAGTTCATTTTGGTGACCTTGAGGTTGTTTTAATCCTGCACTACTTAGGAAGTAAGTAGTGCAGGATAAGTATACAAATATAAAAAATATTTAGATTTTACTAAATTGGTCTTTAGGATTGTCTTCCAGATGTACAAAATGTAAAATTTGATGAAATCGCCTATTTTTCTGACTTCTCATTAAATCAAGTCCAGTCCAGTTCATCCAGTGTTGCTTCTTCTAGGGAGAACAAAAGTACACCTTTGTGGAGGATTGCAAGAACCCGCAGTCTGTCACCATCCTCGTCAAGGGACCTAACAAACACACACTGACGCAGATCAAGGATGCTATCCGAGATGGGCTCCGTGCCGTCAAGAACGCCATCGAGGACAGTGAGTTGAAATGCATTTGGGATTCTGTTGGTTTTGAGCACACACAAAAGAAATTCAAGTTGGCCACAAATTAGTGTTGGACAGCTGTGTCACAAGATATGTACCTGGTGGGTTTTTTGATTTTTTTAATGCCGCACTGAGCAGTATTCCGGCTTTATGACGGGGGTCTGTAAATAAATGGAGTCTGGACCAGACAATCCAGTGATCAACAGCATGAGCATCGATCTACGCAATTGGGATATGATGAGATGTGCCGAGACAGCAAGCCTGACCATCCGATCGCAATAGTTGCCTCTTAAGACAAGCATGGGTTACTGAAGACCTATTATTTACCTGATGAAAGGTATCTTAGTGGCACATTTCAAGTTTCTTTCGTGTGGGCACATGTCATGGTAATGAAACTGAGTTGGCACATTTCTTGTCTCATAGTTTCTTATCGCTATATGGCTGTAATATTGCCGACGTGATGTAAAATATTAACTCACTCACTCACTCATAGTTTCTTGCTATGGACATATGTAAGGTTCAGTGTTGTGTGGTAGAAAATTGTCGAGTTTATTTTCAAACCTAATCTGAGCTCATTTGTGTTTGTGTGTGTGATTGTTCCCTGGCTGGACAAGGCTGTCAGATGTTTGACAAATGTCTTCTTCCATCAGGCTGTGTGCTGCCAGGAGCTGGAGCCTTCGAGATTGCTGCCTTCCAGGAACTCATGAAGTTCAAGGACACTGTCAAAGGCCGAGCTCGTCTAGGTTAGTTACATTAATTTTGTAAGAATTTTTAAGAATCCTTAAGATGCCTCCAACATACACCAGTCTTTTCTCATAATTTAAGTTTCCCACATCATTGTCAGGGAAAGAAATCTTTAAAAAATTCCCACAAGACCACAGGACCAGTGAGTGGACAATAATTAGTGGTCTTGTCTGTACTTCACTGGTCCAAAATAACATTCGTAGATTTACGTAACTTATCAATACAAAATTCACTGGCCACCAGGGCCACTAAAACTTATCATTTACTCGTCCTGATGAATTTTTACTAGCCAGGGATTACAGGACCAGCATAAATTTCGCACACTGATTGTGATAAGGATTAGAAATATTCTAACCATTGACTAGAAAATGTTAATTCCTTTTTGTCACCGCTTAAACTCATTATTTTCATTTCAACACAATAGACTCATTATTTCAGGCCATATATCTAGATAAACTGTTCATTTAAAAATTACCCACCCACTTCATAGAAATATATGCTCCCTGAGGAATCTGGTCATTCATTGTTTCAGAAATCTTAATCAGTTGTGAATGTTGTAAAGCCGATGACTAGTCTCAGATAACGTTGATAGTTGTACCAGTGGTTGACACAGATCCTCAGATGATGAGTACATGTGTCCTAGTTTCTTTAATAGTGTGACTTTTATAGATAAGAAGTGACAGGTGTGGATAAGTGGGACACAAGTGAAGGTATATAGGACATGAGAATTTTATCTCGCAGGAAATATGTACCTAGCTTCTACCCTTTCACCTTGCAATGATCTGAGTTTGCACTGGCTGAACTTGTTGCATTTTGTTAAGTGTCGGCTTCCATTTTGTCCTTTGCCAATCACACATCAACGCAAGTTAACTGTTGGCTTCCATTGTTTAGACTCCATCTTTGTTGTCTTATTACTTTTGTTGTTCCTACATGTACATATACATGCTGTCTTATAGTGTTCATTCACATGATGAAGGAGTAAGGATATACTCCGAAACCTTATGTCCTTCATAATAAAGAAGTTGACCTCCATAAAACTCGCTTCCTTATGCGCATCTCACCTAAATGCCATTCAAAGACCCATTTTGTTTTGTCTCTGAAATTAATGATTGTCCCCCGCAACAACGCGGATCGCGGGACTATGTATTCAGCGGTGTCCGTACATACGTCTGTCCATACATACATACATACATATATACGTCCGTTCGTCCATACATACATACATCCCGATTCTTGTTAACGCGATATCTCATGAACTGTTGTACCCAATGTGGTGACAGCCTACATTGGGGGATTACATACACCAGTCGATTTTGGTGACCTTGACCTTATTTTCAACGACACTTTGACCACTTTGCAAACTCTTGTTAACGCGATATCTCATAAAACATTGCACCCAATGTTTTCAATTATATTGACAGCCTGCATTGGGTGATTATGCAGATACCAGTCATTTCAGGCATCTTGTATGTGACCAAAATATAAAAAGTAGTAAATGTGTTATAAATTTTCCGTTCTTTAGCAGCGGGGGACATTGCCATATCACTGGCAAACACTTGTTTAAACTTAACTGGTACTTTTAAAGTTTGACACAATTTCAATTGTGTGACATGCACTGATTTCTTCTCAATAAAGAAAAGGATATACAAATAGGTAGTTCCACACCCGAATCCCTTTAACTACTGTTGCATACAAACAGATTAGATAATTGTTGTAACAATCAAAACGTTTTCTTTTTGTGGAATTTGTGTGAGCTTGGGAAATTTGTCATCTTTTGATGACTCTTGTTGAGTGTTCAAGGTCTCAAGGCATTCACTGGATTGCTGCTTATTATTGTGAATGTTCTTGAACGACAAATGAGGTTAGAAATACTTTCATCAAGATGGGCTGATAACTCTTGTAGGATTTCACCCATGTACCATTCAGATGACCCCCTTCAGAATTTGTGGATGACATTGTGATGACTCTTTGTTGACTGTTCCAGGAATCCAGGCGTTTGCCGAGGCTCTGCTTATCATCGTTAAGGTTCTAGCCCAGAACTCGGGCCTGGATCCCCAGGAGGCCATTGTCAAGCTACAGCAGGAGTACCTGGGTCCTAAACAGGCAGTGGGACTAGACATCAAAACAGGTAAAGTACAGTACTGGTTCATGGATAGATCCACAGGACACTCAGATGTTACTATACTTCTCTACTTTGACAGGGACATTTGTATCTTTGATTTGTGCACAAAAATGATTTTCATTATATACCAAGTGTGTATTTAAGTAGAATATTGTCTTTATGAAAAGTTGAGTGGTCAAAATGTCTATAAATGTCTTGACTAGGAGTGTAATGATGCATCAAACTATTGATGGATTGCAGTTGTTGATTCTCCGATGGCAATTAATTGATGATAAATGCGCAGCATAAAGTACAGGAAGTACCAGATTCGTTCACTTTCATTTAGAGTTATCCGCCCCCGTTATGTTTTAACTGTTTCCTTGATGTGGGTTTCCAGTTTTTTGTCAGTTATTAAAAGAGACTGAAACTACATCAACTTGTTTTTATTTCATATAATCTATACATTCATTTGGGTAATGACTTCAAATGAGACAACTGAAGGAGAGAAAAAAACATTCAGGGGGAAACAATAGTCTATTGCAATACTATTGCAATAGACTATTGTTTCCCCCTGAATGGTCACCCCTAGTCTTGACCAAATGTTGACAACTGCATGTTCCCCCTCCCTCTGTTCCCATAACCAAGCCATTTTTCAGCTTAGGTTTCTGTTTTTCTCTCCCGGTCTTTATTGACTGACCTAAAATATGAATCAATAAACATGAACTGTAGTGAATATGGCAAAGAATGCTGTCTCACTTCTTGTAACAAAGTCATCTATCATGGTGAGCATATGTGATGTGTATTAGACGTCACATAAGCAAATGAAAAGTTAGAAGTCACATGAAGCAGCATTTTAAGCAGAACTACTTTTGAAGCCCATCTTTGATTTAATAGTAGCCATTAGACAGGGTATGAGGGAGTCAGCACAGTGGAGTATGAGGAGAACTATTAGTATCTGATGAGATCATTTGATTAAGTACTCAGTGGTACAAGTTTCCTGAACACTGTTGCCTTTTCCTGTAGATGTATGTTCCTTTATTACTGTATGTTGCTGACATGCCAAGAACTGTCATATCCCATGTGTTTTACTGTGGGGGATTTCCTTCATTCAGGGGAGGCAATCATACCAGCTGATTTAGGAATCCTGGACAACTTCCGGGTGAAGAAACAGCTACTACATTCATGGTGAGTTGTCTCCCTGGACATGTAGCTCCTCATATTTCTGGTCCTTTTTACTGGAACCAGTTATGTTTATCTATTTATCTTTTCTAACAAATCATCCGGCAGTTTGATCTGACAATTTGTGAGGTCACATTATCATAAGACAAATCCTCATTTGTGTCAAATACTAACATATTTTTTTTATAATAGGACCTGACAGAAATAGGGTAGACCTGACAGAAATAGGGGTAGACCTGACAGAAATAGGGTTGTCAGGTTTGTGTCTCAGCAAGTTTTCATTGTACCCCAGAGGTGTAGATTGTTAATCACTGATATTTTAGTCAGTGCTTTGGCAGTTGCAGACAACATATTTTTGAAGTTCAATGTGATATCTATGAAACATTGTGGAAACATTTGATTTGATCTGATGTTGGATGTTTGTGTTTTTCTTTTGCAGTACTGTGATAGCTACCAACCTTCTACTGGTGGACGAGATTATGAGAGCTGGCATGTCTTCCCTCAAGGGAGACTAACATCACCACATGCTGCTCCTTGTGCTGCTTGTCCTGTCATCTTATAGTGCTTCACCGAAGAACTTCATTCTGTCTAATCCAGGAGTCATTATCTTTGTTCAAAACTTAACTGCACGGTCATTATATTCATTTTGGTTTTGAAATTATTGTTCTCCAGTGCGATTGATGTTTTCACACGACTGCCTGACAATTTTGGAATGATGAGCATGTGTCCGGAAATGGTCTTTTGAAATTTTCAGGGATAGAATGAAGTTATCTAAGGATCTGTGTTTGTGTCTTTTCATATACCTAAATAAACGAATCCTGCTTACTCATGTTTGTTCATTACAGATGATTTGAGTGAGTTTAGTTTTACGCCGGACTCAGCAATATTCCAACTATATGGCGGCTGTCTGTAAATAATTGAGTCTGGACCAGACAATCCAGTGATCAACAGCATGAGCATCGATCTGCGAAATTGGGAACCAATGACATGTGTCAAACAAGTCAGTAAGCCTGACCATCCGATCCCGTTAGTCGCCTCTTACGACAAGCATGGGTTACTGAAGATCAGTATTCTAACCTGGACCTTCACGGGTTGGATAATTTGAGTGCATGGCAAGTAAAGCAAGACCGAAGGCTTGAGATGTGTGCATCACGGATAGAATGTGTTAGGTTATGGTGATTCACGCTGCAAACAGTTTGATTTCTAGGTTTCCACCCATTTTTCGAGAAAGTATACCGAAAGCAGTATGGGAGACGGACAAGTGTTAGTTATAGCCGGCCTGCCTGCAATCTATGTTGGTCATTTATGGCTACTAAACAGGATTGAATTGTTGCTCATTGTAATATCGAGCACTGGATTGTCTGGTCCAGGTGAAATAATCACACATTAATACACACTGTAAATGGAAGGACTACAAGTCTGTTTTACCTTCACACAGGGACATCCATCATTTATCAGAGGTGTAGTAGCAATGTCAGGTGCCACCATCAGTTTTTCTGTTGTCAGTTGTTGGAGTCACAATTTGCCCTGCAGAGTTGCTTCCCTTAGGCATGCTGCATACTTTGTGGGTTCAAACACTGACTTGCCTGATAATGTTTCAAGGTTTGTCAGGTTTGTGGAGTTTTCTTTCCACATTCAGCTGACGTGCAGTGATATAACTGGAATACTGAAATTCTTCAAAGGCATTTAGAAGTTGGTATAGTAATTCAGGACAAATCTTCAAAGTGGCATTAAACTTCACAGTATTTACAGTTTTGTGGTTGAAAAGTCAAACCCAAATAAGAAGTTGTGGCAAGGTTGTAATTTCTTTGTCAAAGCCTTTTCTCTTGAAAGGAGGTATGATGGAAGGATTTCATGATACATGTCAGCTGGAAATCTGTGCAGAAATAAGTCCCCTTGGCTCTACCAAGATCCAGTTCCAAAGTTACCTGATCGTGATCTCACTGTCAGGAGCCATGTTATAATTACTGCTTTTCCCAAACTGCTTGAACCGAACTTCTTCACTCGATGCTCGTGACCGATACTGTGATGGAGTGGATAGAGTGCCTGTTAGGAGAGTTGAAAGTTTGTTCAATGCCTGGCAGTGGTGAGCACATGGGATGTTTAAATATTATACTTGCTTCCCTGTCTGGGCTGCTTGGCTCAGTCAGTATGCAGTGTCTTCAGTTGGGTAACCTTATGAAACTAATATATAACCAGCATGAACAAGGTCTGGGTTAGAATATTGGCCTTCAGTGGCCCATGCTTGTCGTAAGAGGCGAGTAACGGGATCGGGTGGTCAGGCTCGCTGGTTCCCAATTGTGCAGATCGATGCTCATGCTGTTGATAACTGGATTGTCTGACTATTATTTACAGACCGCCGCCATATAGCTGGAATATTGATGAGTAAAACTAAACTCACTCACTCCTCTTTCCTTTCCCCCCCACATGGAGGCAGTGGGGTATCCTAGTGGTTGAAGCATTTGCTTGTCATGTTGAAGACCAGGGTTCGATTCCTCGCATGGGTACAATATGTGAAGCCCATTTCTGGTGTCCCCTGCCATTATACTGCTGGAATATTGCTTTAAGAGGCGTAAAACCAAATTCACTCACTCGCACCACTCTGGAAATGCAGTAAACCAAAACAATCACCTCGCTGCACTGCAAATATTTGTGAATGTGCAAACCCAACAAACATCAACACCATGAGCCAGTTTAGACTTTTTTATTGCTGAAAAACAGTATCAAGCAAGAATAAATACTGACAGTAAAAGCATTGTCAAAAACAATTAAGATATTGTTCAGTGAGCAAGGAATCAATTTGGCACAAACATTAATTCATCAAGAACACAAAAGCAGCATATATCTTTAGGGTGGAATGTATTTGTAAATACAAGGTTCTTACAGTCTGTATATCCAGGAAGCCATTGTACAAAGGGATCCTGCTTTCGAGGTGATCTTAAGGGCACAATGTCACACATTTTCGACAATAATTAACCTCTATTTTATATATTTGGGGCATATGCACTCACTTTAGCTTCCTATTGATGCAATAAAAGACTTATTATCCCTTACGACTTGCCTGAAATCGACAACTGAAACTTTGAGGCGAACATTTGCCATATATGGAATGTAAACAATTACTCCGTACATTGAAAACTGTCGCACAGGGTGTTGTTGGCGTTAGCCAAACTGGTTTCAATCACATATATATTATATCACTGGATATACGTAAAGAATGCTCCAAGGGACATAACTCTGTGGGGTTCGCTTGAAATGATGTTTGGATGGTAGAGGGTGTGAGAGTCCATATACGTTGCATTAATTCATTCGAACCTTTTAATTTAATATCATAATCTAAATACATAATTATTAATAATAAAATAAATTATACGGTAGCTTCCCTGAGGGCTGATAGTATTATTGAGAGAAATGCATTATGTATTTTTCGAGAACTGTGGCATGACATTGTGCCTTTAACGCCATTACTTTAGCGTGGGTGTAGAATCAAGGATATCCATAAAGACATACAGGACGGAACACGCCTCCTGTACCCAGTGCTTGTAAAAAGCTGACTAAAAGGAGGTTATAATTTGTGACCTCTTGTATCTTCTGCTCGTAAGACTGAAAAAGGACTCTGGGCCTCATTCTGCAAAGTGATCTCAGTGTTTAACAGCACTAACAGACTGACCATACTATGCACACTTGTCAACATAAATGTTACATCAAGTTCAAGGTCATTCTTTGTGTGACCACACATTTTGTGTTCTACTTGACGGCATGGATTGTTGCTCGCAATGTTAACCACTGGTTTTCAACACTTATGTAATGTTGAACATAGAGATTTTTTTCTGGGTTACATCTTCTTTTTAATCTCTATGTTCATCAAATATCATCTTCTAAAATGCCAATCAAGCATTTATGTAATGTTAATATTGTTGACCTTAAAAACACTGTTCCTTTCCAATCAAACAGTAAAATCATATCATATACGAATAATTGTCAATGTTTATGTACATGAAAAATAAGTTTGATAAAGAATCAGGGGTTTGCGCCTACATACAAAAAGCAAATGAGTAATGTCTTTCGTTGTTTTTAAAGCTAAGCTCCAATGATGACGTCCAGACCCAAATCTAGACCAATCTCTAATGTTTAGAAACACCATCATAAAAGACAAAACATAAGCCAGGGCTCCAGATAATTTTTCAACATCTGGAGTACGTACTCCTTATATTTTCAACACAGGAGTACTGGACAACCTTATTGCTAAAAGCGGCGTAAAACTAAACTCACTCACTCAGACTGAAAAAACATATTGAAAAAATCTTTCACAGTGATTGGCCAGTGGTGAATATTATTCTTTCTTTTTTGACATTACAGTTATTAATCCTCTCTATGCTGCATTATGACAAATCCAAACAAAACTTCCAATAACCATTGACCAGGCCAAAATAGCACTGAAACTTCCATTGTTGACATTAAGAACCTCCCCAATTCAATTAGTTACAAACTTATGGCCTGGCATTGTGCAGATGTTTTCCTTTGCCTCGTACAAACTTATTTCACTGATATTGTGGACAATAAATATGATGGAGCAAAAGGACATAATACTTAACTTTAGGTTATTGCACATCCTCGATAATCTCCAGGGTATACGTTACGATCACTCTCCACTATACGCTGGATGCATCCACAGCTTGGCCTGATAATTATTATTATAGACACCTGATTGGATAAAAAGCCAGCCAAGGGAGGTAATAAAATCATCCGGCCAAGCCGTGGATGCATCCAGGGTATAGTGGAGAGTGATCGTAACGTATACCCTGGAGATTATCGAGGATGATTATTGCACTGAGTGCACTAATAGGGCGAATACATTGGGAAAATATTTCTGAATTTATGAAAATTAGAACTTTCAAAAATCTGAAATAGGAGCAATATAATTATTTCTAACCCAATTTGCCTTCAAATCCTTTGTCTGGAATCCTAGATGAACTCGACAGTGGCAGTGGTGTGATGCATTTAAAATACACAAGGCTTGGCACCCTACAAGTGACATATTCATAAATATGTTAAGTTCTATTTTTTATCGCATACTGGATAGTGGTCTCAATATGTTAGACAAATAAAAAATACTTATCACCTTCCAATAATTGTGCAAATGAGGTCCTTGCAGGCACTACTTTTTATAATAATGTGTCAATGCAATATCTATTTCATTAAAACACCTTGTCTGACATCTAAAAATGTAATACTGTTGTTTTTCTATTCATGGAACAGTACATAAAATGGCTTCAAACCATTTGGTTCACAATGCCACTTTTACTTACATTAAAAGTAAAATAAAATTACTGCAAAATCATGACAAGGAAAGTACATGTCATAAATCCAGCTTACTAAATATGTATAATGAAAATTAAGTATGAAAACCGCGACGTACATTCTTAATATCACACAGGCAATTCGAAACACTCCGAAATTATATTTATGTAATAATACATAAACAATAGATACATATGTTTTGAAATTCATTGAAATCATTGATGTATTGGCAAAACATCAAACCTTAAATATGTTGCGATGGTATTAAAGCTACATTAAAAGAGATGCTTCCCTACAAGGCTGGGAATATTTTCCCTAAAAATGTATAAATGTTAATTATTCTTCCTTGTCTTTCCGACCAAACCTAAACAGCCTCTGAATGATGAGTCGTACTAGCTCAAACGTGATGACGATAGTGAACTCAGGTTTCAGCATGTGGAGCTTGGGAACTCGACCTGTATTCAGATGATAAAGAATGTGTATACACAAGGTGCAAGGTGACATTTATGTAGTACTTGACTATAATATGTTCTGAAGTTTTAGAGATAAAATACGGTGTGCCAAGTGTAGAGTAATAACTTCACAGGTTGCTCATGCCATCAACACACGATACAATGTCGATAAAATTGGTTTGTTCATTATTTAACGCCACACTCAGCAACATTCCAGCTATAATGCGGTCTGTTAATAATCAAGTCGCAATTTTATATATGATGACATGTGTCAACCAAGTCGGAGAGCCTGACCACCCGATCCCATTAGTCGCCTCTTACGACAAGCATGGTTTGCTGAAGACCAATTCTAACCCAGATCTTCACGGGTACAACAATAAGAAGACGGGACACAGTTGATAAAGCTTTATGGGTTAAGAGAGAGAATAGGTGAGGTGAGGTGAAATTGGGTTTAACGTCGTGCTTGAGAATATTTCACTCATATGACGACGTGCATGCATGTGTATGTGTATGTGCGGCTGCTTGTACTAGCCCAGATTGAAGTTGGTTTTATAGTGCTAGCCCACTGAGATACCATGCCGCAGTGAAGCATGAATACCCCACTCAGACACATTATACTGACTCCGAGCCGACCAGTCTTTGTTGTACCCATTAATGCCAAGCGCCAGGCAGGGACCAACAAGTACCATATTTTAACGTCTTTTGGTATGACGCGGTCGGGGATCGAACCCGCGATCTTCCGCTCTCCGGGCGGACGCTCTAACCACTACACCACGGAGGCGTCCGGGAGAGAATAGGAGCAGATAGACAGTGAGAGAAGAGGAAAAGAAATTGTTCCAGTAAATACTGGAAAAATAATTTATACACAAAAGATGAGAGTCTAATGGGTGTAACATATGTAATATGTATAGGTTAGACCACGAGGGCCCCCGTGTTTAACTGTTGAAATGCTGAGTTAAACCCCGAGGCGCCGAGAGATTTAACGCAGCATTTCAACGGTTAAACACGGGGGCCCGAGTGGTCTAAGCTATTTAAACCATGGCCATCTTCAGATGGTATTAACTTCATTGATTATTCTGTAAATTTAAGTTAAAATAGCGATCTGCATTTTGTGTGTAGGTATGTTTTGCGTTCATGGTTGTGAACAGGCTTTCCCATCGAAGCTACTGACGTCAGACGCTAGCTAGCATGTGTTGCATGACCTGCACGTGCATTTCGAACTACTTCAATTTCTTAATGATTAATTATACTTGTTTCGGGCTGCTATTGTTTTCGCTTGGGCCATTTGATATGAGTGATTATTTGTTTTCTGAATACCTCAAGGCACGGGCATGCGTGTTGCCACTTTGGTCAGAGCACTTTTACAGTATGGATGCACACGTATTTGACAGTGATATCGCCTCCATCTTCACAAATAGGACTGGATATGTATGTTATGACGAATTCAAGCAGTGGTGAAGATATGGCCAGTACCTGTGAGTACCTTGAGAATACTTGTGCAGGGTGTCCTGGCAAAATGTCCGAAACTGAACTGTTACAATCGACATGTTAACTCCATCGTGCACAGTGACTGCTCCGTCTGACAAGAGTGTCCACCTTGTGTTAATATCTCCCTCAATATCCACTTCAAGTGAAAAAAACCTCGTGAAAATGTAAATTATCCCGAATAAAACTTTATCGCAAATTCCTTGTTTGTCGTTTGGAAAGTAGTTCCGACCTGGGGTTTAACTGGTTTGGCGGTCAGCTAAACCCCGGTCTGAAACAAAGGAGCCATGGTTTAATTGGGATTACACTTTCTCAGTAAAGTACAGATTCTAGTGCTTTGTTAGGTCGAGTCCCATCCAGGATACGAACCCTTACTCTCCTGATTGGCAGCACACAAAGTCAGGGATCTAACCCACTCAGCCACCATGGTTTCAACAAGATGGAAGTCTTGATCACATACTGTAACAAGTGTAAAGTGGCATGTACCTGTCATAATGTCTGCCCATTTCAGAAGGAACTTATCTCCCTTTCTCTTGACAGCAGCTGTTGCTGCATCGATCAGGATTGGAAACCGGAATACCAGCTGTGCAAATATCATGGACCTGTAAAATAATATCACATCAGAAGAAGCTGTACAAACATCATTGATTTGTGAAACAATATCATGTCAGAAGAAGCTGATCAAACATCATTGATCTGTGAAACAATATCATGTCAGAAGAAGCTGTTCAAACATCATTGATCTGTGAAACAATATCATGTCAGAAGAAGCTGTACAAACATCATTGACCTGTGAAACAATATCATGTCAGAAGAAGCTGTTCAAACATCATTGATCTGTGAAACAATATCATGTCAGAAGAAGCTGTACAAACATCATTGATCTGTGAAACAATATCATGTCAGAAGAAGCTGTACAAACATCATTGAACTGTGAAACAATATCATGTCAGAAGAAGCTGTACAAATATCATGGACCTGTGAAACAATATCATGTCAGAAGAAGCTGTTCAAACATCATTGATCTGTGAAACAATATCACGTCAGAAGAAGCTGTACAAATATCATGGACCTGTGAAACAATATCATGTCAGAAGAAGCTGTACAAATATCATGGACCTGTAAAATAATATCACATCAGAAGAAGCTGTACAAACATCATTGATTTGTGAAACAATATCATGTCAGAAGAAGCTGTACAAACATCATTGATCTGTGAAACAATATCATGTCAGAAGAAGCTGTTCAAACATCATTGAACTATGAAACAATATCATGTCAGAAGAAGCTGTACAAATATCATGGACCTGTGAAACAATATCATGTCAGAAGAAGCTGTTCAAACATCATTGATCTGTGAAACAATATCACGTCAGAAGAAGCTGTACAAATATCATGGACCTGTGAAACAATATCATGTCAGAAGAAGCTGTACAAACATCATTGACCTGTGAAACAATATCATGTCAGAAGCTGTTCAAACATCATTGATCTGTGAAACAATATCATGTCAGAAGAAGCTGTTCAAACATCACTGACCTGTGAAACAATATCATGTCAGAAGAAGCTGTACAAATATCATGGACCTGTGAAACAATATCATGTCAGAAGAAGCTGTACAAATATCATGGACCTGTAAAATAATATCACATCAGAAGAAGCTGTACAAACATCATTGATTTGTGAAACAATATCATGTCAGAAGCTGTTCAAACATCATTGAACTGTGAAACAATATCATGTCAGAAGAAGCTGTACAAATATCATTGATCTGTGAAACAATATCATGTCAGAAGAAGCTGATCAAACATCATTGATCTGTGAAACAATATCATGTCAGAAGAAGCTGTACAAATATCATGGACCTGTAAAATAATATCACATCAGAAGAAGCTGTACAAACATCATTGATCTGTGAAACAATATCATGTCAGAAGAAGCTGTTCAAACATCATTGATCTGTGAAACAATATCATGTCAGAAGAAGCTGTACAAATATCATGGACCTGTGAAACAATATCATGTCAGAAGAAGCTGTTCAAACATCATTGATCTGTGAAACAATATCACGTCAGAAGAAGCTGTACAAATATCATGGACCTGTGAAACAATATCATGTCAGAAGAAGCTGTACAAATATCATTGATCTGTGAAACAATATCATGTCAGAAGAAGCTGTTCAAACATCATTGATCTGTGAAATAATATCATGTGAGAAGAAGCTGTTCAAACATCATTGATCTGTGAAACAATATCATGTCAGAAGAAGCTGTACAAACATCATTGATCTGTGAAACAATATCATGTCAGAACAAGCTGTACAAACATCATTGATCTGTGAAACAATATCATGTCAGAAGAAGCTTCTGGATGTTAAAACACAATTAAGTTGATGAAGATTCTCCATCCAGAACTGCTGATATCATTTTAGAAGATCTGATATAATTTCTATGTCTTTTCAAAGATTCTCGACCAAGAAGAACTGATATCATTTCAATACTGTAATATAAACATGCCTATTGTTTATGAAACACTCACCATCTGTGACTAAGGACATGCCTATTGTTTATGAAACACTCATCATCTGTGACTAAGGACATGCCTATTGTTTTATGAAACACTCACCATCTGTGACTAAGGACATGCCTATTGTGTATGAAACACTCATCATCTGTGACTAAGGACATGCCTATTGTTGAATGAAACACTCACCATCTATGACTAAGGACATGCCTATTGTTTTATGAAACACTCATCATCTGTGTCTAAGGACATGCCTATTGTTTATGAAACACTCATCATCTGTGACTAAGGACATGCCTATTGTTTTATGAAACACTCACCATCTATGACTAAGGACATGCCTATTGTTTTATGAAACACTCATCATCTGTGACTAAGGACATGCCTATTGTTTTATGAAACACTCACCATCTATGACTAAGGACATGCCTACTGTTTATGAAACACTCACCATCTATGACTAAGGACATGCCTATTGTTTATGAAACACCCACCCTTTGTGACTAAGGGCATGCCTATTGTTTATGAAACACTCATCATCTGTGACTAAGGATGTGCCCTTTTGTTTATGAAACACTCACCATATATGACTAAGGACATGCCTATTGTTTATGAAACACTCACCATCTGTGACTAAAGACATACCTATTGTTTATGAAACACTCACCATCTGTGACTAAAGACATGCCTATTGTTTATGAAACACCCACCATTTGTGACTAAGGACATGCCTATTGTTTATGAAACACCCACCCTTTGTGACTAAGGGCATGCCTATTGTTTATGAAACACTTACCATCTAAGACTAAAGATATGCCTATTGTTTATGAAACAATCACCATCTAACTGTCTCATACCTCCCTTCAAGAACTCTACGCTCTAGTCAACAACAGCTCCTTCGGGTGCCTGTCACCAAACTTAAAACTTTCGGCTCCAGATCCTTTTCTGTCTCAGCCGCTACTCTGTGGAACTCTCTACCCGAATCACTGAAGTTGATTCCATCTCTTGAAACTTTTAAATCCAGTCTTAAATCCTACCTTTTCAAGCACTATACGTAAAAGATACATAACTCATACCATTGTGGAGAACTCAACTGCCTCTGTTTCCATCGTTTGAGGCAATGCGCTTTGAGCATACCTTCATGGCGTGGATATAGCGCAATATAAGTGCCATTATTATTATTATTATTATTATTATTATTATCTATGACTAAAGATATGCCTATTGTTTATGAAACAATCACCACTCAAGAAGATGGACATGACTATTGTTTTTTTTAAATAATAATCAATGGTTTATGAAACACGCACCACTCAAGAAGATGGACATGACTATTGTTTTTTATCAATGGTTTATAAAACACGTACCACCAGAAGTCGTAGCCAAACTTTTTTCATCCATCTCTGGTGGAAGATCCTCATCACATCGTTGTCATAGTTACCATGAAGTAGTACCTCCTGCAGGAACTTTGCTGCAATCTGTCCTCCCTCCATAGCATGATGGATTCCTTCTCCTACAGTACATAACAGAGGTTGTCAGGGAAGGTCACTTCTTGTCAGGGAAGGTCATGTTTTGTCAGGGAAGGTCACTTCTTGTCAGTGAAGGTAATGTTTTGTCAGAGAAGGACACTTCTTGTCAGTGAAGGTAATGTTTTGTCAGGGAAGGTCATGTTTTGTCAGAGAAGGTCACTTCTTGTCAGTGAAGGTAATGTTTTGTCAGTGAAGGTCCTATCTTGTCAGTGAAGGTAATGTTTTGTCAGTGAAGGTCCAATCTTGTCAGTAAATGTCCCATGTTATCAGGGGGCGGTGAGGTAGCTTACCCCACATGGGTACAATGTGTAAAGCTCATTTCTGGTGTCGCCTGCTGTGATATTGCTGGAATATTGCTAAAAGCGGCGTAAAACTAAACTCACTTATACACTCACCCATATTGTCAGCAAAGGTCCCATCTTGTGACAGGGATGGCAACAGGAAAATTTATTTTCAGCTGAAAACTTAATATTCTGTCATCACATGGGGGATTTAGAGGGATTCAGACGATTCACAGAATTGATAAATTTAAAATAAAACCGGCAGAAAATTGCCACATATGTTGTCAGCTAATGCCCCATCTTGTCAGTACATGTCAAATCTTGTCAGTGAAGGTCCTTGGTTGTCGGTGAATGTCATTTATATTGTCAGATAATGTTACACTTAATGACTGACTGACTGACTGAGTTTGGTTTTACGCCGCTTTTAGCAATATTCACGGCGGGGGACACCAGAAATGGCTTAACACATTGTGCCCATGTGGGGATTCGAACCCGGGTCTTCGGTGTGACGAGCCAACGCTTGCACCATTAGGCTACCCCACCGGCCCTACACTTAATGACTGAATGTGAAGTCTCACAAGTAAATCTCACATTTTGACAGAATGTTATCTAAAAATACAAGTTAAAAAACCAAGAAAATGAAATCAACTGAAACTACAAAAAAACAAATCACATAAAATAACTGAGATTTTGGGGAAACGGTAACCACGTCTGAGAATGTTAAACAATGTACCTGTCATTGGGTCAATCATTCCTGCAGCATCACCGACAACAATCACATGATCTCCATGGGACACTTTCTCTCCCCCCGATTCGTAGACTTGCTGTTAACAGAAAAGCGTATATTCAAGAACCACTTCTGGTTCCAAATTTTGTGAGTGCCAAATATGACTTTACTAGACCGGAAAAAGTGTACAACATGATGCTTGGCTGTCAAGTTGTTGACAGTCATAATAGTTGGCTAATTTGGGGATGGTTAGATCGGAATTCTTTTATTCCTGCAAGGATTACCAGTTCCTCACTGTCAACTGACAACCATCAGACCAAACGCAAAGGTATAGAACGTCTCGCGATGTGCCGTGACCTACTTACGGGCCCTTATTGCTCAAATATAGCTTGACATTTTCAAAATTGAGCTTAATAATAGTAGAGATAGATAATTTACATGTACACAAAGTAGGCTAAGCTTGGGTCAGTTAGGTGGTGGTGGTGGTGGAATTGGGTTTAATGTCGTGCTTGAGAATATTTCGCTCATATGACGACGTGCATGCGTGTGTATGTGTATGTGCGGCTGCTTGTACTAGCCCAGACTTAAGCTGGTTTTATAGTGCTAGCCCACTGAGATACCATGCCGCAGTGAAGCATGAATACCCCACTCAGACACATTATGCTGACTCCCGAGCCGACCAGTCCTTATTGTACCCATTAATGTCGAGCGCCAGGCAGGGACCAACAAGTACCATATTTTAACGTCTTTTGGTATGACGCGGTCGGGCGGACGCTCTAACCACTACACCATTGAGGCGGTCTGGGTCAGTTAGGACTCCTACCACAGTATACAGCAAAATAAGTAACCAACAAACTAAGAACATACCAGCTTTCATCCTCTCTATCTTGTGGTCTGGACCAAGGGCTCTCTTGATGTTTGGATCGTTGGTCTTGAGCCATTCATGCCAGTGGGCCAGGTCCTCGCTCTTCACGTCGGGGTTGCCGGGGATGATGTAGCAACAGTAGTTTAAGACGTCGTTGGGGTGGCGGAACAAGGCTGAGTAACCTGTATAAACAAAACTCATTGTTCAAATATATATATGTAAATAATCAAGTATAATCAAGCTAACAGCAGTGAACTTTGGAATTTTTAGTCTAGATTTGTGATAAGAAGCTGTTTTGTTTGGCCCTCATGAAAGAATTGGTCGCAACCAGTGGTGTTCCAATTAATTGAAATAATCGAACATTGGTCGCAGTGATTAATCGACCAAGCAATCGATCACATTTACTCATTATCGAACACAAACGATTTTGGAACTACTGTTTTAGTGTTTGAAACACTTGACAAAGGAGATATCCTAGAAGTTGTCAGGGCCTGAAAATGTTTTTAACTCTTAGAAAACTCACTTCATTTACTGAAAAGTCATGACTGAATATTTCTTGAAGACTCCAGGAAGTTCATGTTCATTATATATTAGTCATCACTTTAAAGTAGCTAGTTGCAACATTTTAAATTGGTTCTGAAATTTGCAAAAGCAATTTGCGCAGTTTCTAAATAAAACAAGAAACAACAGAGAACCATGTTATACTTATCTGCAAGAACACCTGATTAGGAAAATCTGAGAAATGCCGCTAACCAATTTTTTTTGATGATTGCTCGCTGGTAGTGAACAAATCATCAATTGTTAGATTGCAAATAATTCCCAACACTAGTCGCAACTTGTCTTCAGAAACTCATGTTTTTTGTAAGGGATGACTGTGAGAACCATATGGTCTGACATAGGATCAGCTGGTTAGGTTTGTTGAATTGGTTGATGCATGTAATTGTATCCCGCTGTGTAGATCGATGCTCATGATATCATTCACTGAATTGTCCTGTTCACTGCTATTCTGCTCATGATATCATTCACTGAATTGTCCCGTTCACTGCTATTCTGGTCATGATATCATTCACTGAATTGTCCTGTTCACTGCTATTCTGCTCATGATATCATTCACTGAATTGTCCTGTTCACTGATATTCTGCTCATGATATCATTCACTGAATTGTCCTGTTCACTGATATTCTGCTCATGATCATTCACTGAATTGTCCTGTTCACTGCTATACTGCTCATGATATCATTCACTGAATTGTCCTGTTCACTGCTATTCTGCTCATGATATCATTCACTGAATTGTCCTGTTCACTGCTATTCTGCTCATGATATCATTCACTGAATTGTCCTGTTCACTGCTATTCTGCTCATGATCATTCACTGAATTGTCCTGTTCACTGCTATTCTGCTCATGATATCATTCACTGAATTGTCCTGTTCACTGCTATTCTGCTCATGATATCATTCACTGAATTATCCTGTTCACTGCTATTCTGCTCATGATATCATTCACTGAATTGTCCTGTTCACTGCTATTCTGCTCATGATATCATTCACTGAATTGTCCTGTTCACTGCTATTCTGCTCATGATCATTCACTGAATTGTCCTGTTCACTGCTATACTGTTCATCATATCATTCACTGAATTGTCCCGTTCACTGCTATTCTGCTCATGATATCATTCACTGAATTGTCCAGTTTACTGCTATTCTGCTCATGATATCATTCACTGAATTGTCCTGTTCACTGCTATTCTGCTCATGATATCATTCACTGAATTGTCCTGTTCACTGCTATTCTGCTCATGATATCATTCACTGAATTGTCCTGTTCACTGCTATTCTGCTCATGATATCATTCACTGAATTGTCCCGTTCACTGCTATTCTGCTCATGATATCATTCACTGAATTGTCCTGTTCACTGCTATTCTGCTCATGATATCATTCACTGAATTGTCCTGTTCACTGCTATTCTGCTCATGATATCATTCACTGAATTGTCCTGTTCACTGCTATTCTGCTCATGATATCATTCACTGAATTGTCCTGTTCACTGCTATTCTGCTCATGATATCATTCACTGAATTGTCCTGTTCACTGCTATTCTGCTCATGATCATTCACTGAATTGTCCTGTTCACTGCTATACTGCTCATCATATCATTCACTGAATTGTCCTGTTCACTGCTATTCTGCTCATGATATCATTCACTGAATTGTCCTGTTCACTGCTATTCTGCTCATGATATCATTCACTGAATTGTCCTGTTCACTGCTATTCTGCTCATGATCATTCACTGAATTGTCCTGTTCACTGCTATACTGTTCATCATATCATTCACTGAATTGTCCTGTTCACTGCTATACTGTTCATCATATCATTCACTGAATTGTCCTGTTCACTGCTATTCTGCTCATGATATCATTCACTGAATTGTCCTGTTCACTGCTATTCTGCTCGATATCATTCACTGAATTGTCCTGTTCACTGCTATTCTGCTCATGATATCATTCACTGAATTGTCCAGTTTACTGCTATTCTGCTCATGATATCATTCACTGAATTGTCCTGTTCACTGCTATTCTGCTCATGATATCATTCACTGAATTGTCTTGTTCACTGTTATTCTGCTCATGATATCATTCACTGAATTGTCCTGTTCACTGCTATTCTGCTCATGATATCATTCACTGAATTGTCCTGTTCACTGCTATTCTGCTCATGATATCATTCACTGAATTGTCCTGTTCACTGCTATTCTGCTCATGATCATTCACTGAATTGTCCTGTTCACTGCTATACTGTTCATCATATCATTCACTGAATTGTCCTGTTCACTGCTATACTGTTCATCATATCATTCACTGATTTGTCCTGTTCACTGCTATTCTGCTCATGATATCATTCACTGAATTGTCCTGTTCACTGCTATTCTGCTCGATATCATTCACTGAATTGTCCTGTTCACTGCTATTCTGCTCATGATATCATTCACTGAATTGTCCAGTTTACTGCTATTCTGCTCATGATATCATTCACTGAATTGTCCTGTTCACTGCTATTCTGCTCGTGATCATTCACTGAATTGTCTTGTTCACTGCTATACTGCTCATGATATCATTCACTGAATTGTCCTGTTCACTGCTTTTCTGCTCATGATATCATTCACTGAATTGTCCTGTTCACTGCTATTCTGCTCATGATATCATTCACTGAATTGTCCTGTTCACTGTTATTCTGCTCATGATCATTCACTGAATTGTCCTGTACACTGCTATACTGTTCATCATATCATTCACTGAATTGTCCTGTTCACTGCTATACTGTTCATCATATCATTCACTGAATTGTCCTGTTCACTGCTATTCTGCTCATGATATCATTCACTGAATTGTCCTGTTCACTGCTTTTCTGCTCATGATATCATTCACTGAATTGTCCTGTTCACTGCTATTCTGCTCATGATATCATTCACTGAATTGTCCCGTTCACTGCTATTCTGCTTATGATATCATTCACTGAATTGTCCTGTTCACTGCTATTCTGCTCATGATATCATTCACTGAATTGTCCTGTTCACTGCTATTCTGCTCATGATATCATTCACTGAATTGTCCTGTTCACTGCTATTCTGCTCATGATATCATTCACTGAATTGTCCCGTTCACTGCTATTCTGCTCATCATATCATTCACTGAATTGTCCCGTTCACTGCTATTCTGGGATTTGGTTCTGTGTGTAGCATGTCACAAATGAGGAGAAGTTAACCAGCATTGGTTTCAGACAGCAGTTAGACCCTATTTGGCATCCAAAGGTTAGGGGATAATGCTCCTCTCAGGGAAAGAAAATCGGGGGAATGGGGTGTGTGTGTGTGTGTGTGTGTGTGTGTGTGTGTGCGTGTGCGTGTGTGCGCCCCGATATAGTTTTGACCTGAGAATGTTCACCAGGTTCATTGATGCATACTTATCATGTAACTTACAATCTTCAAACCAAATAAAACCTGTGAAAATCCGGGTTAAAAATGATCTTCAGTAACCCATGCTTGTCGAAAGAGGCGACTAATGGGATCGGATGGTCAGGCTCGCTGACTTGGTTGACACATGTCATCGTATCTTAATTGCGTAGATCAATGCTCATGCTGTTGATCAGTGGAATGTCAGGTCCAGACTTGACTATTTACAGCAATATAGCTGGAACATTGCTGAGTGCGGCGTAAACTCTCACACTCACTCATGATGTCAATCAGTGGATTTTCTAGTCCTGAGTCGATTAATTTACAGACAGTCATTATTTAGTTGGAAATTGCTGAGTGTGACATGAAACAACAAACACACACACAAATTGTGGGTCTGCCAACTACAGAGGAGGCATTGAACAACACTGCATAATGTCAACCTGAGGCTAGACTTGTTTAAACTTCGATACAAACCTAAAAGGAACGGAAAGGTAACATTTATTGAAAAACTGACAAAAATAACCAGAAATAAGGTATTCAGAGATGCCAACCCTGAATCAAATAAAGTCCTGTCTTGGAAAAGCAATTCCCCGAGCCCTGAAGTTGCGAGTTGGGGGTGAGCATGAGAGGGGGCTTGGGCCTCCTCTATGAAATTGTTTAGATATAGCCTGGAAATATTTAATTTCTAGGCATATTTAACCAGATAATTCTGAACTCACACGAACATATTTACTAAAATCTTCTTTCAAACATTCTAAATTCATAAACATATTTTTTATATAGACAAATCAGAGAGTGGATTTTGCATTTAAAAAATGGAGTAATGGTTGGCATCTCTGGGTATTCCTGGCCTTTGCTATATGAATACTGAATATGCGAGCATGACGAGGGCATGAAACATTGGCTCTACCTGGAAGCAATGTCTTGTTGTAGAAGATAACACCATCGGCCTTGAACTTGTGTGTGCCGCCCTCGACATACGATCTGGAGCATGTGCTGTCTGGAGGCCTTGTCACGAGCCCAAGTTTAGTTGCCAGGCGAGACGGTGCACCATCCGCACAAACTAGCACCTGTGATAATATTAACCTATGATAATAACACGGTATAACAACAAATTAACTATGACAGCAATAAGCATAAAAATAACAGGAAAAACCCATAACAGCAATAAATAGACAAACAACAATACTTACATGAATATGAACAATATATACATGCATAAGAATCACAGAAAAATAAATAATAAATATATTAGGAATTAAATAGAAACAATAAACATATTAAAAACAACAATAAATATAACAATTCATTAATAACAACTCTTAAAAATACATATATGTATAACAATATATATATTCATAGCAACACAAAAAATGTTCATGACAATAAATATATTGATGACAATACATATATATTAATAACAAGAATATAATATAGTACTAAAAAAATTATTTAATAATGACAATGATGATGACAAAGTATAACCAATATCCCTTAACGACTTGCCTGAAATCAATAATTGAAACTTCTAGGCGAACAGCTTCCAAACAGAAACACTTGCCATATATGGAATGTAAACAATAGCTCCGTACATCGAAAACTGTCGCACACGGTGTTATCAGTGTTTGTGCAACAGGTTTCAAAATAATGTTCGGCTGGTAGAGGATGCGACAGTCGATTTAATTAATTGCATTAATTTATTCAAACTTTTTAATTTAATAATGTAATCTAAATACGTAACTGTTTCTGAAAAAATTATATGGTAGCTTCCCAGAGGGCTATTGTGAGAAATGCATTATGTATTTTTAGAGAAACGTGGTGTGACATTGTGCCTTTAAAGTCACCATATTGTACCAATCAATATGAGATACTGGGAACATGCTAATTAAACCAATAACTCAGTCATTAATCAATACAAGTACTATACAACTGTAGGATTACCCTTGCTGTAAACTCTGTGTCCGTGTTCTCCAAGGTCACAGTCCATAGTCCTTTCTCTTTGTCAAATACAGCTTCATCCACAGAACATTCCTCCCGTAAATCTGCTCCTGCCCTAAAATAAACATAGTGCAGTGATTGAGCAGTTGGGTGCAACCTGATTTGTTGTAACTGTTGTTAAATGGCACTGAATCACAGAAGCCTTCCAGACTTTTCACTGTGAATGAATATGTTTTTGTCTCTCATGACAAAATTTAAAAACCAAAATGTGCCTTTCTTAAAAATGAATAATTTGTCAACTTTAGATTTAGTTTCGCCAATATCAGGCAGACAAGTTCAGTCATGGTGGTATCATTACAGTGAGACATCAATTCTTTCCAATCTGTGTGTGTGTGTGCGTGTGTGCATGCATGCCTGCATGTCGTGCATGTTAGTGAAGAATGTAAATTTACTGAAAATACAAAATATATCTGCAACACCATGTATTCTCCACTCCATGGGGAGAGTCACAATCCAGTTTTGTAAGTCAGTCTACTATCCTTTCAATTCACGTGAAGTCTGTGCTGAAGCGTGAATGTTGTAGCTGAAATAAAATTGATTGAATCGTCCCAAAAATGATAAAATTGAAACATAAAAATTCCTTGAAATTTTATCGTTGCAAAATTAAGGTTATCAATATTGTTACCCACCGTTTTGCTGCCATGGCGATGGCCTCGTCAAGGTGTATCCTCTTACATGCAAGAGCTGCGGGGACAGGACCCAGAGCTTCCTTACTGCGCCCGATGAAGCTCAACCCCCCAGGACTGCACATTCCTCCATTGTCCGACTGGAATCAAACAGTGATACAATACATCATACAGTCGAGCACTGCTGTCTCGATATTCATGGCACCAAGAAATTTTTTCGAGGTATCCGAACTTCGAGACCTCCGACCAGGGCATATCATCACATATCATTTAGACACAACTCAACAATCACATGCTAGTCACGTGATTACACAAAACCCTCATTGGATTCTCAGTATGTTTTTATTTGAAACTTTAATCCGTTATCAGTAGTGTTTAGTCGTAACAGTGAGTACTTCCTAAATTAATTCCTTCTTAATTAATTTTAATTAAATAACAAACAAGTGACACCTTCAACTCAATTAGCCCTAATTAGTTTACACGGTTATCTCCCATTTGACAGACACCCATTTGACAGACAGTCAGTTGACAGACACTGAAGTAGAAGGTTAATTAGGGTAACAACTACGGTTATAATGGAACAGTCCACTGTCTAGTGAACAGAGTAGGGTGAGTCTGAAACAGGCTCGTTACTTAGAAGTTTGATTGTGTGTAAATAGAACTTATGTTGTGATTAAATGATAATCTGTCTTCTCTTCTCAAAATTCTTTAACTATCATTTACTATCGAATATAAAAACTGAGAGGTTTGATTGTGTTTATTGACTGCAATATATTTTATTCATGCCGCACCATGTGTAAACACCCTCAGTTCAGAGGGATACTTGCCTATCAAAGGTAGGTGAATATCAAGTTTCTTTGCAAATATCGAGTTAAAAGGGTAAATTTGCTTGTTGGGACCATGAAATTATATCAAGATATCCGAAATATCGAGACATCCATATCGAGTTAAAAGAGCTTGAATAATGATAAATTATGATGGATTTTGCTGGGACCAAGATGTTATATCAAGACAACCGAGATATCAAGTTATCAGAGTTCAACACAACGGTGCTAGACTGTATATTTCATTGTTCACAAGCTGAGTCATCTGTTGACGTATTGTAGTTGGGTCTCTTATGCAAGTGTAGCAGGGCGTGGAGTCATTCCACAGATGACATCCTTACCTGTCAGCTTGCTGATGGGGTTAACCCCTTGGTCATGTTGACAAAGCGTTCCTCCCCCCCCTCTGAAAATTCCTGGATCCGCCTATGGACTTTGGATCAGAAGGTCTGTGGTTTGAATCCCCAGCATGGGACTTGGAACTTTTATGGCCACTACACAAGGATCCTATGAATGGGGTTGGAATCATGTGATACCATACATCATATATTTCATTGTTCACAGCTCAATCATCCTTTTCTGTAACATTTGTCGTGCAGAGTTATGTCCCTTGGGTGTGCACGGATACCATAAATCATATATTTCACTGTTCATAGGCTCAGTCATCTATTGGTGCATCATTTCTAGTGAAGAGTTATGTACCTTAGGCTGCAAGGATCCTAAAAGTGAGGTTGGAATCATGTGTTATCATTCATCACACTCTATACAAATGACTATATCTCATTTATGCACCTGTTTGAATTTCAAATTTGCTGATGATGCCGCTTTGGTTGGGTTTATTCGTCAATCAGAGTTAGAGTATAGGAAAAATATTGATGCGTTTACTTCATGGTGCAAACACAATTACCTCTCCCTGAACATAAAAAAAACAAAGAAAATGATAATTGACTTTCGAAGCGGAAAAAAACAAACTGAAACCTGTTTGTATTGATGGACAGGAAGTAGAAACAGTAGAAGAGTATAAATATCTGGGTACTATCATTGATAATAAACTTTCATGGAAGTCCAAATTCACATCGGGTACATAGGAAAGCACAACAGAGGCTTTTCTTTCTGCGAAAATTGCGATCATTTAATGTAGACACTAATATCTTAAAATTATTCTACCAAACATTCATAAATAGTATTTTAACTTTCTGCTTTTATGCCTGGTATGGCAATCTTTCTCTTCCACAGAAAAATAAAATTGACAAAATTGTAAACATATCAAGCAAAATTTGCGGCTTCAATTTCGAACCTCTACCTTTTCAGTATGAGTCAAAAGTGATCCAATTGGATCCATCACACTTTTTAAATGAATGTTATGAACTTCTGCCTTCTGGCGGCCGTTTCAAAATCATGTATTACAAAACTAATAGAACTTCAAAATCATTTGTCACATACAGCATGAAACTTCTAAATCTTCCTTCAAAACTGTGATAGTGAAATCTATGATGAGGCACGAGTGATTATTATATCATGAACTTTGATTATGTTATAATTCAACATTATATTCTGATTAGCTTGGCATTGTGTATATACATTTTAAATTACTTGTTGTTATATGCTTGTATTGGCTCTTTGAATGCAAAACATATTTCCTTGCGGGACAATAAAATTTATCTTATCTTATATATTTCATTGTTCATAGACTTATTCATCTATTGCTATATCACATGCAGTGCAGAGTTGTATCCTTTGGGCATGACAGACTGAGTATGGTTTTACGCCGTCTTTTTAGCAATATTCCAGCAATATCGCAGCAGGGGACACCAGAAATGGGCGTCACACATTGTACCCATGTGGGGAAAGGATGTTATGAATGGGGTTCGAGTCATGTGATATCATAAATCATGTATTTCTTTGTTGACAAAAGGACACATGTTGCTTTGTTATAATGAAATTCATAGTGGCTAGTTAGAAAAATACCCAGAATCCTGTTATTGTTTATTTGAATCCCAGATTTGCTGCCTGCATGAAAAAATGACACAGATCACAACCATAAAGGGTTTGGCGAGAGCATCAATAATTCACTGATTCATTTCGGCAAATACAATTTATATGTATACATATATATAGAATTAGTCATAGGGATCATGAGATCAAATTGGGGTCAGCAAAATATGTTTTATCAGTATGTATTCAAATTCAATAATACTAGTAATACAGGAAAATAGGAAAAAATATCATTTTGGAACAAACTTAAGTGAGTGAGTGATGATAACTGCTTCATTTGTAAAAATAATAACTTGTTAATTAAAACATTCATTATCTATAATACTCATTCTAGCACGACAATGTGTGATCCTCGATTCTGATTGGCTGAGAGCTCATCAAAACTTTACTTAAATGACAGTTTAAGGACCGCTAATTAAAGTGACCGATTCACCGCGTATGAATACTACGAACTCGTTGACCCTATTGTTTGTAAACAAACATGTCGGACATCGGCAATTTCTATCTCGGCAGCATCTTTGGTGTTTTTGAAGTAAAAAGTGAATGGTTTGAAGAAGAATTTCTTGACCTTAATCCCAGTGAAGAAACTACGAAGCTAGAAAATCCGTCAGCAGCGCAAAAGCGGCAGTATATTCAAAGCGGGTCCAGATCTACGTGTGTTGACGTCGACAACACACGTCGGCCCACACGTCCTAACCTGACCGCTTCCGTCCCGGCCGTATTGCCCAGTCCTTCCACTTCCACTGTCCATGTATCCGACATAAAACGTGGCATGTCAGGTCTTTTCCAAATTGGGAATAGTAGGGTGGTTATCAATAATTATTTCTGTGAATAAAGTTAGCGGCGACTAAACTTAGCGAGTTCACTGCTTGCATTTGGGTGAGTCGATTGTCATACAGTAGGGGAGATCAATAATTCGCTTGAGAAAAATCAAATAATTGTACTTGCTCACAGTATAAACTGTATTTTTATTTATTTATATATGCTACTTGTTACAAATACAAGCATACTATTTCCTTAAATAGAGCATTTATGTTGTTGAAAATGTCTTATTTTGTTCATTACACAACCTGTCCCTCAACGGGACGATTCCAAGCTATTTCCAGGAAAAAGGCCCTTTATGCCTTTGTGTTCTCTTGGCCAAACAGTTCGGTTTTGAAACGCTTTATCAGTCGTAGCTAGAATGAAGATAAAGCTACTCTGTTTTCATTTTATGGTTCTTTATCGTTGATTTAAGACCGCTAAATGTTTATTTAAAACCTCACGCTAACGCGTTCGGTTTTTAAATTACATTTAGCGGTCTTAAATCAACGATAAAGGACCACAAAATTGAAAACAGAGTAGCTTTATCTTCTAATTATAATTTCATTCAACATCAAAATGCCTGTAAAATCTTGCAGATATATATTTCTTTGGTTATCTGAAAACATCTGCTGCTGGTGATAATTGGTTTTATTCATATTATTCATGATATTATAAATAAGGTTGTGCTTTAGGACATGATCGCCAAGATTATGATGATGTAGGTAATTATTTGTTCATTTGATAGTGCTTAAGATGCTGATCCAGAGACAAGTGGGTAGGGGGGAACAAATAGTGATGTTTTTGTCATCCTTGAATAACCAGGTTATCATATTTCCATTCTATTGTAAACCAAGACGAGATTAAGGATTTGAATAGATCCTAGGAACATGTGCTAGGAGGAGATCAAATACACAGTGTGGTCAGGCTTGGCTGCTTGGTTGATAAGGGGTCACTGGATGGTTGTTCACTGTAAAGATCCGAGTTGGAATTGGTTTTCAGCAACCCATGCTTGTTGAGAGAGGCGACTAACGGGATCAGGTGGTCAGGCTCGCTGACTTGGTTGATATGTCATTGGGTCACATATATCTATTCTCATGACATCAGTCACTAGATTGTACGGTCCAGGTGTGATCGCTTACATTCCTTGTATAGCTGGAATATTGCTGAAAAGGGGATTAAATACCAAACAAACATATTATGATAAATACCATCCTACCTGATTCAACAGACACAAAAGAATGACAGTAACACCACTATGATGGATGGATGGAATGATGGATGGAATGATGGATGGATGGATGGAATGATGGATGGAATGATGGATGGATGGACGGAATGATGGATGGAAGGATGGATGGATGGATGGATGGATGGATGGATGGAATGATGGATGGATGGATAGATGGAATGATGGCAGGATGGAATGATGGATGGATGGATAGATGGAATGATGGCTGGATGGAATGATGGATGGAATGATGGATGGAATTATGGATGGATGGAATGATGGATGGAATAATGGATGGAATGATGGAATGATGGATGGATGGATGAATGGAATGATGGATGGCTGGATGGAATGATGGATGGATGGAATGATGGATGGAATGATGCATAGAATGATGGGTGGATGGATGATGGAATGATGGATGGAATGATGGATGGAATGACTGACTGAGTTTGGTTTTACGTCGCTTTTAGCAATATTCCAGCAATATCACGGCGGGGGACACCAGAAATGGGCTTAACACATTGTGCCCATGTGGAGAATCGAACCCGGATCTTCGGCGTGACGAGCCAACGCTTTAACCACTAGGCTACCCCACCACACCTGGATGGAATGAATGATGGAATGAATGATGGAATGAATGATGGAATGAATGAATGATGGAAATGATGGAATGATGGAATGGAATGGATGGATGGAATGATGGATGGATGGAATGATGGATGAATGGAAGAATGATGGATGGAATGATGGATGGAATGATGGATAGATGGAAAGATGGATTGATGGAATGATGGATGGATGGATGGAATGATGGATGGATGGAAAGATGGACAGATGGAATGATGGATGGATGGATGGAATGATGGATGGATGGAATGATGGATGGGTTAAGGAATGGATGGATGGATGGATGTGTTGATTGATGGATGGATGATGGAATGATGGATGGAATGATGGATGGAAGGATGGAATGATGGATGGAATGGATGAATGGAATGATGGATGGATGGAATGATGGATGGATGGAATGATGGATGGAATGATGGATGGAATGATGCATAGAATGATGGATGGATGGATGATGGATGGAATGATGGATGGATGGAATGATGGATGGAATGATGGATGGGTTATGGACGGATTTGAAGGAATGGATGGATGGATGTGTTAATTGATGGGTGGATGGATGGAATGATGGAATGATGATGGAATGATGGATGGAATGATGGATGGAATGAATGATGGAATGATGGATGGGATGGATGGATGGAATGATGGATGGAATGATGGATGGAATGGAATGGATGGATGGATGGAATGATGGATGGAATGATGGATGGATGGAATGATGGATGATGGAATGATGGATGGATGGAATGATGGATGGAATGATGGATGGAATGATGGAATGATGGATGGAATGATGGATGGAATGATGGATGGAATGATGGATGGATGGAATGATGGATGGAATGATGGATGGATGGATGATGATGGATGGATGATGGAATGGATGGATGGAATGATGGATGGAATGATGGAATGATGGATGGAATGATGGATGGAATGATGGATGGAATGATGGATGGATGGAATGATGGATGGAATGATGGATGGATGGAATGATGGATAGATGGAATGATGGATGGATGGAATGATGGATGAGTTAAGGAATGGATTGATGGATGGATGTGTTGATTGATGGATGATGGATGTGACATAAGCTTATGTCAAGGTCCTTCAAAAAGAACATATTAAACATGTAAAACTCACCACATGAGCTTTGTTCTGTTTGAGGAGCTGATCATATATTCCCATGTCCATTAAAATCTCGATTCCAGTTTTACAAACAGCATCTCCACAATATTTGTCCCGTGGAAATTTCTTCTTCTCTAAAAGGAGACATTTCCATCCTTCTTTTCCTGAAAATGAATACACCTGATTTAGTTTTGTTTATGTCACTCTGAATAACATATTGTATATCATGGCATGTGATATGTGAGGAAAACCCAAAGTAATGTCGACGTTCACACCTTCGGTGAAATCTATGAGCATGATAATGGTGTTGACAAATAGCATAATATGACAGAACGGGATCCCTCACCCTCATCAAAGCTTTTCACCCCAATTCCACCCCCAGAGCCCCCACAAAACAGGTCAAATTCAGTGAAACACCAAATGATGTCCCGCTAAATTTGTTCTGTTTTTGTGGGGTTGTGAAGTGAGGTGAAAAGGCTTGACAAGGTTGAGTGGCTCCCGTGATCTGGGTGGGCAGGGTTTAGATCCACAATCATAGGTCTTTGGCGTTCTCAAGGGCCACAGCTCGGTGCCGTGAATTGTGGTGCCACAGATGACTCGCTATTCTCATTTACCCATTGATAGAATGAACAATGATCCATTCCTGGGTATGATGACACGTGCACACAGATCTTCATGCAGAGAGGTATGATGACACGTGCACACTGATCTTCATGCAGAGAGGTAAGATGACACGTGCACACAGATCTTCATGCAGAGAGGTATGTTATCACGGTGTCCTTGGATCTTCATGCAGAGAGGTATTTTATCACGGTGTTCTTGGATCTTCATGCAAAGAGGTATCATATCACGGTGTTCTTGGATCTTCATGCAGAGAGGTATCATATCACGGTGTTCTTGGATCTGCATGCAGAGAGGTATCCTATCACGGTGTCCTTGGATCTTCATGCAGAGAGGTATCACATCATGGTGTTTTTGGATTTTCATGCAGAGGTATCATATCACGGTGTTCTTGATTCTTCATGCAGAGAGGTCATCACGGTGTTCTTGATTCTTCATGCAGAGAGGTATCTCACTGTGGTGTTGTTAGATCTTCTTGCAGAGAGGTATCTCACTGTGGTGTTGTTAGATCTTCTTGCAGAGAGGTATCTCACTGTGGTGTTCTTAGATCTTCTTGAAGAGAGGTCTCACTGTGGTGTTCTTAGATCTTCTTGCAGAGAGGTATCTCACTGTGGTTTTCTTGGACCTTCGTGTAGAGTGGTATCACAAGTATGCCCTCACCCCTACCTCTCTAAACAACTGGCATATCATAACTATGGAGTTACCACTTAAGAAGTCTTGGCATATATATAGTGTCCAAATCAGGGGTTGGCATTCTCTGCTATATCAAGTGTGAAATATCTGACCTCATCTGTTAATGCCTGAATTGTTGCTATAAATACACTTTGGTATATCACATGAAAAACAATGGGTCTGACAACAGGAGTTACCTCCCTTATATTTGCAAGCAAGACTGACAATATTTTTCCTTTCAGGATTCAGTATAAGTAGGAATTGTCAAAATCTGCTGCAGATTAAGAAGAACTCCACTGAACATTAAATATTTTTTGTCACCTTTCAGTTTCAGAGGAGAGTAATATATACTAAAAAGTTTCACATAAACAACAACTTAGAGTACATTTATATTATCCAGTACTCACCCAGATAGTAGCCGCAGACTGATCCGGCTGGGCCGGCGCCGACAATGGCAACATCATAATGCTCCTTGTCTGCTGCCTGCCGAGATGAATAGACATCAGTAACTCACTGCCGGAAATATAAGAAACTACGATCATTACGAACTAACAGGGACCTTTAACTTCTACTTCAAAATAAACATAACAAGCAATTAAAACATTTGGCACAATTTAATAAATTCAAAACGCTGGAAGATACATCATGAAACGTGTCAGCATGCTGTGACTTACAACATGTTACAGTAATGTAATAATGTATATTATATCTCCCAGCCCAAAGAAAGAAACGAGGTAATGTTAAAACCTCAAACCTTTTCTGTGAACACTAAATTATATAGTCACTTTGTAGAAAGAAATATTAGAACCTCAAACTTTCAATTCTGAACATTAATTACGCACGCTCAATTATGCAATCTATTTTGCAGGGAGGGCCTTCCCAAACCTTTACATAGCTTCTAATTTGCGGTTGGTACTAATATCCAAGTAGCGAAGATATGCCTGACTTTTCCAAAAACCTAAGTCTTGTATGATTTCTCAAACCAATCTGAAAAGCCCAAGACGCTCCACCCCTTCTAAAGGAATGGCCTGTAATAGTGCCCTCACACCTGCTGACTCTAGAACATGCTGCACTGTAGCTATGAAGCCACAGTAAGTCAAAGCATACAACTGGTAAATTAAACATTTAGCGGTCTTAAATCAACGATAAAGGACCGCATAATTGAAAACAGAGTAGCTTTATCTTCATTCTAGCACGACTGATAAGCGTTTTAAAACCGAACTGTTTGGCGCGCAAGAACACAAGGCGCAAAGGGGCCTTTTTCCTGGAAATCGCTTGGAATCGTCCCGTTGAGGGACCGATTTTTCAATGAACAAAATAAGACAATTTCTACAACATAAATGCAATATTTCAGGAAACAGTATGCTTGTATTTGTAACAAGTAGCATACATAAATACAAAAAATACAGTTTATACTGTGAGCAAGTACAATTATTTGATTTTTCTCAAGTGAATTATTGATCTTCCCTACTGTATGACAATCGACCCACCCAAATTCAAGCCGTGAACTCGCTAAGTTTAGTCGCCGATGAAAGTTTGTAAACTAAGATTTAGCAAAAGTTATAGTTAAACTAAAAAAAGGAAAATTGTAAAATGCAGTAAAAGTTGCTTTACAAACAAAACAAACAGATTTTAGCTGTAATTATCAGTATCTGGCAAGGAGAAGTGTTTATTCACTACAATAAACTCAAAATCATAAAATAAATTATTCCAAAATCTTATTAATGTGGCCTTTTACAGTTTTTGTCAATTAGCAATCTGAATTGTTCGAAAAATGTCTGAATCTTTGACATTCGGGTTCTTCCTGATTATGCATAATTAAAGCTTACTTGATGTGTAAATGTCATCTTGGTATATAATTGTTATTTTTAGTCAAAACTTAATTTAAAAATTCAGTCCCATCACATTTTCTTTCATAAAGAATAGAAAAGGTTATGGTATTTGTAAAACTGTCAGTGGATAAAGCTTCTTTAACAGGTTGATTAAATTGATGGCTATACCCTAACTTTTCTGTAGCATCACATCTTATTTTCAAAATAGGATGGTGCTTAATTAATGCACTTGTGTATACAATTTTCTCAATGAAACGCTTATCATAATCAAAACATCAGACCAACTCTGTGAGTTTTTGCAGAATTTATGTCCTAAAATATAAAAGTCGTTTAACAAACTATCATTAAAATTTTGACACATTATTTGTTACGAGGGAGGAGTGCAAAGAGAGGAACAGCCAGGTGTGCGAGAAATGATGGAGACGGCAATGAATCAGGTAAATGAATCAATAACTTTGTTGGCACTTGTGCACGTGTTTCGCGTACAGCTGGAAAACAGAGATACAATGATACAATGGGGGTTTCAGTACCATTTGTATCCTGATACACACCTTTTAACTCGTAAGACATTGCCCTTACAGGTGACTCGAAACCTTGTATTGTCTTTAAATTTAGAGACAGATTTTTGTTTTGTTTGTTTGTTGTTTAACGCAGCACTCATCAATATTCCAGCTATATGACAGTGGTCTGTAAATAATCCAGTCTGGACCAGACAATCCAGTGATCAACAGCATGAGCATCGATCTATGCAATTGGGAACCGATGACATGTGTCAACCAAGTCAGTGAGTTTGACCACCCGATCCCGTTGGTCGCCTCTTACGACAATCATTGGTTATTGAAGATCAATTCTAACCCAGATCCTCACTGATTTCAGAGACGGAAGAATGTTTGTTCAGATCTGCATTGTTATTGAGCATACAACGCTCAGAAATTTCATTTGGAAATTTAAGTATAAGCCATGTAAGTTTTAAATGTAAATAATTCTATGCATCACAGACTCAAAATGTTCACTGACATTATAAACACTAATGTTATCAGAATATCTGCTTTGAGTAAGACCACAGAGGATGTGATATGCTTCCATGTCAAGTGAACCAACACGGTTATCAGGATGAAGAGGAGAATGAACCAGATATTATAAATTATACACGATGAAAATGATCTAAAATGATCTAAAAATTCTTTATTGAACTTGATATTTAATTATGTGCTATCCATTTTAAAGTTCATATGCAGTGAAAAGTCAGGAAGATTTCCTGGATACATTAAACAATAATTCTCATCAATCAAATTGCAGCATACAATCCCAGTCATTTTCGACAGGATACACAGGAAACGCTCTTCTAGTAACCATGGTAACAATCTCATAGAGTTAGATGTTGATTTTAGATCACTTTGGCTTCACACGTCACAAGTAACATTCAAATGCTCACTGGAGACAAATTATCATGGAAATATTCTCCCAATTCCTTAAACATTTTTTAAAACGTCACTAAAATATTTACACTGAAATCATTATTAATGGGACAGTAAGGGTGTCAAATCTTGATGTGTTCAGTTGATGATGAAGGGCAATAATGATTTAGCTAATGGAAGGATGGTGGATGAAGACATGACACAGACTAAATTGATGGTGTCAAGTTGCACTGATCAGTGATAACAGGATTTACTTTGTGCTTCACACTAAATGGTTGCGTTGAAACCATAAAGCACTGCTTTCTTTACTTCCTCTTCCAGTCGACCAATGAAGGTCCGGGTTAGAATGAACCTTCAGTAACCTATGCTTGTCGTAAGAGGCGACTAACGGGATCGGGTGGTCAGCCTTGCTGGCTTGGTTGACACATGTCATCGGTTCCCAATTCTGCAGATCGATGCTCATGCTGTTGATCACTGGATTGTCTGGTCCAGAGTCGATTATTTACAGACCGCCGCCATATTGCTTAGTGCAGCGTAAAAGTAAACTCACTCACTCTCTCATCTTCCAGTCTCCCATTACAAGTTAATGCCATAGTCCTACTACCTACAATACCAACAAACCTTTAACTCTCTTTATCTCTATCTTAGTTTCCATTTGCAAAACATTCTGTAACTGCACACATCAATCCCATCATCTCACAACACTCATTTCGCATCACGTCCCATATGCGGCATGTGATTTTGATTTTTATATTTAGTCTCAGAGGGACACCAGAAATTGGCTTCACACACTGTACCCATGTGGGGAATCAAACCCGGGTCTTCAGCATGACAAGTGCACGCTTTAACCACTTGGCTACCCTAACGCCCCCTCATCAAGTCTATCAAATAATGCATCAGCTGTTATTCAGATTTTATAGCTGATCTCACCTTACTAGAACTACTTGTATTGTCATTAAAATCAAATCTTGTCCTCTTATAAGATAACTATCTGATTTTGATAAAATTAGATTGATATGGTTGCATGCTCGTCTGATCTGTGTAAAAGAAAACCTTTAACTTTGACTTTGAAATTCTCGGTAGATTTTAAATTAAACTAAGTTTATCGCAAAATTTGTTTAATTATTTTACCCAATACATATTGTGAGTGAGTATAGTTTTACACCACTTTTATCAATATTTCCGCAATATCATGGCTGGGAACACCGGCAATGGGCTTCACACATTGTACCAATCTGGGGAATCGAACTCAGGTCTTTGGTGTGACGAGCAAACGCTTTCATCACTAGACTATCCCGGTGCCCTTGATTGAAAAGCACATTGCGGTATATTGGTATAGAGGTAAATCCATAGAGACCTTCTTATAACAGTATCTTTATTGAATTTGCTTTTACTAGAGATAATTCCAAAAAGTCTGAAGTTTTTTTATGGGATTGTTACCATGGTAATAATTGTAGGAAAAGCCCATGGGAATTAAATACTATAAATAAGAGGTGACTAAATGAATCTGATGGTCAGGCCAGGTGATTTGGATGTGTAAAAGGTTTCACTTCTACATAATAACGGATATTTCATCATGCTTGTTTCTGAGGGACACTGTTTCCATGCAGTGTGCGAAAGAGTTTCCAAATTTTGCTAGTCAGTTGGGCTAGCTATACCTGAAAGTTACTAGCCCACAAAATAACTCACTAGCCCGAAATTTGAATGTAGGCACGGGTTTCATCATAGTATGATGAACATTTTTATCAGGCCATAATCTTGCATGGTTTAAAAGATTATTATAACTAAACACGTCATAGAGAGTTATATATTTACAAAATGATCCAATGAAAATTTACTCGCCAGTCGGGCCAGTGACTGTAGAGATTTTCTGGCCCAAATGGATTTTTTACTAGCCACAGGCTAGCGGGCCAATGGCTATTTCACATACTGTTTCTAAGAATATAACATGTTCTGTGATTGGCTCATGGAGCTCCACTTTCTTAATTTAAAGCTAAGTTGGCTCAATCACTGTCTGTCTGAGACTTGATAATGCACAAAGTGTTGTCATATAGCTGACTGCAGCAGTCTAAGTAAACTTAGGATCAGTAGTATTCGTTACACTGCTATACTGAGTCTAACAAACCCTAGTAGAAGGTCGCGTCAGCTAACCTTTTGGACTGACCAATCAGAACACAGCTTACCAAATCGCGAAAGTTAACATTCGCACATACCGTTTGAACCTCTAAATTACCTAAAAACTCGAAAATTCCAATGCTATTTTCAGTACGATCGCTTCCGAATGATACACATGGAGGACACAATGAGTAAACAGTCGTTGAAAATAGTGTTTTTGTCAATATAAATGTAAGCTAATAGTAACCAGGTCAAATATCTGTGTTTATTGCGGATTTTCATTTGTTGATAGATCAGTGTCAGCAACCAGGGAAGAGAAAATCCAAAACCTGTTTTGTAAGTCCCGACGAACCCTAACAAGTAAAGTCATTGTCTGATTGGTTAAATCTGTTCGGCTGTCTTGCGTTTGATTGGACGGTCATAGGTCACTCAAAGGTTAGCTGACGCGACCTTCTACGGTACTAGGGCTTTTTAGACTCAGTATACTGTGTAACGAATAAAACTGAGCCTATGTTTACTTAGACTGCTGCTTGCAGTGTCAACAATAAAGCATTCGATCGTTGTCAGTACACGATTTTAATCATAAATTATTAAAATATTTCTGAAACTGTCTATTTATTCGTCAAATATTAATTGTTTTGGAGTGATTATCGTAGTGTTTTTGTTGCCACTTTGTGAATAGGTAATTAAACTATGACGAATTATTTAGAACAATATATGTCTGTGTGTGTAAGCAAAATACTGGTTTCAGTTGAGCACAACCATGCAGGCAGTAGACTGAAGCATTTCTTTATATTATAATGACAATTATCTGTCCATTACGTCGCCCAAAGTCTACTTGAGGTGCATACAGGCTAAATCACAAACATTATGAGTGATTCAAAATAGACAAAGAATTATCTCCTCGTCAGCTGTTTATAAACAAACCTTTTGCTCTGGGTATTTTGACGGGAAATCTTTGATATTTCCTTCCTTCTCGCTGGATGTCAGTCCTAACACGATAATCAGAAAAAGTATAAACACAAGAAATAAGATGCCTGCCCAAAACAGATCCATATTGGCGGTGTTTTGAACTTTGTATTATGACATGTGTTGAGCTGATTGTCCCAATACAACCTTTGAACTTTGACCGATAGTTGAAAGGTCATTGTGACCAACACTAACAGCAAACGATTCGTATCATGAATAATTTTAATGCGAATATTTATCGAATATTGAGGATTGCTAATAATTATTTTCTAATTTTCTACTGCCATTACGATGATATGTGAGTGTTATAGTTGTCTATTAGGTAAATACCGATATAATAAATGCTAAATTCCGGATCCGGGCACCTGCCTCGTGACGTCACATTCTTTTTCGCCCATGTTGGTTACGCCGTGTGGGGCTGAGACCGGTGAAGATAATCATGTCGACCCTGCAGAAAGCCGAGAGTCCTGTGTCGCCAGGCTGTAGTGGTAGCAGCAGCCAATACAAGGGTGGTATTATAAAAGAATTGTAAGTATAGGTGTTCTTTGTCGAAAGATCATTGTCCGATTTGTGACCCCGATGATAGGTTCATCTGATTGTCATGTTGTGCGACTCATACGATTGCGCATGATTGTCCGCCACCTGTTTCTCAATAAGCCCGAATTATTTGTCACCCACGACACTTTACGTATACTAAAGGGACACACGATTGGAAATATGCTTGTTGTTCAGATTGGAAATGACTTGTTTCCTCGATCAATCAATAAATCTTTCTAGGGTATGAGTCATATCGGGACATTTGACGTTACTGCCCTTACTCTAAGTAAAATGACTTGACGTACACATATCTATGACGAATCAGAATATTCTTCACTTTTTCCCCCATGACTGAGTGTTCACATGTGGGTTTTTGTATGGTGTCGTGTTTGTTATGAAAAATACAATGAAAAAGAATGTAAGGATGTTTGGTAATGTTTTGATGTGTTGGATTCATAGTAACAGAAGCAAATATCTCTGTTATTTTACACAGCTGAAGATGTTCTTTTAACTTGTCTTGAATGGTAAATAAGTGCCAATAAGTGAAAACAGATCTAATTTAGGGGAACCAGTTGTTGCAGTAAATAGGTTGATCTGTGTACAGGGATTTAAACTGTCTGTCTGTTTCTTTGATTGGCATTGTTTGTGAATAGTGAATAGTTAAATCCTTTGTGTTGCTTAGCAACATAAACCTTTGTGTTTATGTACATGATATATGCATCTTAAATTGATGGAAGCTTTCGGTGGTGCATTGATTGAGACCTTAGCTACAGTCATTGTGCAGAAGATTTCTATTTTATCACAGTTTGTTATACTATTTGATTGTCATGGTTATGATATTGGTTAGCAGCTAGAAATAATAGTCAGGATTCTGCCAGATGTAATATATTGCATTCTACACACATGAAAATTAATAATGGATGCAAATAGTATTCACTGGGAGTTTCATCAGGCACAATTATGGATATAGGAATAATTGAAAGCAATTCATCTGAAGTATATGCTTAATTTAGGACAAAAATAACATATATTTGGATTGTCCATGTCGGATCTTTTTCACTTGGTCACTGATTTTTGGTAAAAAGGAAAGCCAATTCACTATGTGTTTGATTCCTGTATATTTTAATTTTATCATGAAGTTTCCTGGGTAAGTTTGTTTAGAATATTGTGGTCCCAGGTTCTGATGAGCAGGCGGTGGGTTAGCCTAGTGGATAAGGTGTTTGCTCATAACAAGAAAGGTGTGGGCTCAATTTCCAACATTGGTTGGTTGGTTTGTTGTTAAACGCTGCACTCGGCAATATTCCACCTATATGGCGGTGTTCTGTAAATATTCAAGTCTTGATCAGACAATCCAGTGATCAGCATCATGGTTGATCTCACTGATTTGGTTGACACATGCCATCGTATCTCGTATTCTCATGCTGTTGATGACGGGATTGTCTTGTCCACACTCAATCATTTAGAGACTGCTGCCATATAGCTGGAATATTGCTGAGTGCGACGTTAAACTACAAACACTGGAAACAAAAGCAGACTCATCCAAATCCTTCCCATTTTGCCACAGGAACCTTCCATTAGGTTCACTGCACTGGATTAAGTTACATAAGAGGCAACTATTAGACTTAATTAGACGTATTTGTTTAACCCTATTGATTGTGTCATCTTACCTGGAGAGCACTGTGTGTTGCTCATAATATCATCCACTTGTTTGCGTGTTATTTACATGCCTGTATGATGAAATTGGAATGCTTCTCACATTCACTCGCCAGTGTTTGTATTAAGTGGAGTCGTTGAGGTTTGCTGATAAGGCATCAATAGAGTCTAGCATCCCAAGACCTCTGCTTCATATCATTTTATCATATTGATTATGGGGTAGCCCAGTGGTTAAGGCATTTGCTCGTCACACCGAAGACATGGGTTCGATTACCCACACAATGTTTGAAGCCCATTTCTGGTGTCCCTCGTCATGATATTGCTGGAATATTGCTAAAAGCAGCGTAAAACTAAACTCCTCTCTCACTCATAATGGTTACGATTATGGTTATCCATGATTCATATGAATCATAGTTACCTTCCTCTAGCCTTTGAAACTGTTATTGAGGCAGCCAAGTAGGCTAGTGTTAATTTCTGACCTTCCATCAACATAATTATATGCTGCAGTCATAACGACATATTAGCATGAACATAGTGTTGGAAATAACAGCGCCGCCCCCTTTCGGTCTGTGGCAGGTAGATTTAGTGTCGGCCCAATAGTTTTAAATCTGTGTGGGTCCTTGCAGAAAATTCATATGTGTCTTCAATATAATGCAGTGTTGTTAAATAAACCCTGAATTAGTGCATAGTTAAGCAGTATGTGAAATTTACGCTGGTCCCGTTGTCCCTGGCTAGTAAAAATTCATCAGGACCACTAAATAAGTTTGCAATGGTCCTGGTGGCCAGTGCATTTTGTGTTGATAGTTAAGTAAATCTACGAATGTTATTTTGGACTAGTGAAATACAGACAGGACCACTAATTGTTGTCCACTCACTGGTCCTGTGGTCTTTTGGGAAATTTTGAAAGGTTTCTTTCCCTGTTAAGCCTGGGCTTACAGCTCTAAAAGTCTGTAGGTCCAGATGGCATCCAGGCTGTTTTATGTTTCAAACACTGCATGCAAAGTTCTGCTTTATGAATTAGAGTCAGAAATACTTGTCAGCCAGCATTTCCAGCTGGTACCTCACTGTCTGTAGTCTGTAATTGCTATACTGATAATTTTTAATCAGGAATTGATATGACTCAAGCATCTGCAAGCAAGAAATAGCTTTGTGATTATACAACTGTAAGTATAAAAACACAGAGTTAAATAAATCTGAGAAAAATGATTATCTAGGATATTTGTAATTGGAGACAATCCAGTGAGTGTTCTGATTACAAATTACCAGGTACTTCAGACACTGTTAATTTTATGAACCTATATATATACACATGATGTAGGGATCAAATATCACAGGCTTTGTGTCCGCCCTAATCATGTCACATGCAGTAGTTGACATAGACAGTACATTTTCTGTTGTATATATCAAGCATATCATTGTTTATATCAAATATTCCAGGGATGTATCTGATCTGCTTCAGCCCCTAATCGGAACAATATGTTGTTAAAAGTTAAAAATTGGTATTACACTCATGATTAAAGTTTTTGTTAAATATGGCTTTTGCAGTGGTGTATTTCAAGGATAACAGGACCTGTAGAAGGTGTATTACTGTAATGGTTTTATGGCTTAAATATGTATTACTGCAGTCGTATTACATTGAATGCAATCAAATCAAAAACATCTGAATATGCTAGGGATGATGGGGTAGACTTATGGTTAAAGTGTTCAATTGTCACACCAAAAAGTGGGATTGATTCCCCAAATTGTGTGAAGGTGATATCTGGTGTCCCCTGTAGTGATATTGAAGGAATATTGCTGAAAAAGACACACTCAGTCACTTTGAACGTGCTGGATTCTGCATTAGAAAAACCCCCAACATGATTATGATAAAAGAAATCCAAATTTGCAGCAACGAAAACTTGATCTAATATTATACCACAGAATAGTTTACCATGGTGATAGCGTTTAGTTTAGACTAGACACTAAATTCAGATTTCAAACAAAGCTTTGTGTTTGTCATTATCCATCTGTGTCAAAGCTTTTTCAATTTAACAGCATTTTACATCAACACATTATGTACATAGGATGATATGAGCTAAGTTATGTTGGATACTGAAAGAAAATTCCAAAGTCTCATGCTTCAGACCCATGTCTCTACCAATAAATACCTAACAATGTTTTTCACGGAAAATAAAAAAGCACATTGAATTTTGCCCCAAGACTAGCCTAAGTTTACAGGGTGTAATTGTTAACACGGTTAATCTGTATTTACAAAGATATTGCTATTGTATCAGGACAGCTATGCAGTATCTTTATCAGGAGACTCATTGCATTGATGTGTTGAGGTTTAATCATCATCGTTTATCAATGACAGTTATGTTCTTGTGCTTCTGTGACCATGTCAGGTGTATTTGTCACATGTGATCTAATGATCTAATTTTACTTTGAGATTTCTTGGCTGCTGATCATAATAAATCAGATGAATACTTTTTCCACCAATATATTATTTAGTCGTAACTAACATATCATATAATCTGTCAATAATTGGGCATAGGTGTATACAATAAAGAAGAAATTGACATCCATAATATTTTGTCTTTTACTTAATACCACCATCTGTATGCCTCTCAAGAACCTCAATAATGCATTTGACAGCCGGAATGGTAATCGTTTTTGACTTATTGATGCTGAAGTTAGTGTTCAGTTAAGTTAAGATAGATAAGTTAAGATAAGCATTCTGCTGTCCTGTTTTGCTGCATTTTCAAATTAAGGAGGTATTACAGTCATGAGGTGTTCTCAGTTGTAGCAATGATATTCAGATCAAAATCAGGGGCAGTGGGGTAGCCTAGTGGTTAATGCGTTCGCTCGTCACACAGAAGACTCGGGTTCGATTCCTTACATGGTTAGAATGTGTCCCCCATAGTGATATTGCTGGATTATTGCTAAAATTGGCATGAAACTAAACTCGCTCACTCACTTTTGTGATAGTGAAACTGGAATTCAGAATGTGGTTTCTGATCTTAAACATAAGTTGATCATAAAGAGAGTTATGTGCTCTTTGACTGATCCTTTAAAATTTTCTTCTTGCTTCAGCTATTCCAACATGATTTAAACTTTTGAAAAGGAATAGACTTTCCATTGTCTCTATTGAGTTCTGCTCATTGTCATCCTTTCATGAAACATTTCAAATTTTTGTGTTATATTTTCAAATTTGAATCATGAATAAAGTTTCCCATTTTGAAAACAGTGCTGTAAAACTCACTTCTGATTGGCCAAATGTTGTCTTTCTGTTAGTCATTGTGTTGGACGGTCAAAGTTCGCAAAAGGTTGTTCTTACTTGACCTTTGATGGGATGTCCC